TTATGCGATTTTTTATACATGAGTTGAATTGTCATACTTAAATTCTACGGAAATTGTATCTAATTACCATAGCAACCACGGTGCTATAGCTACTATGATCATTATAAAAATGAAGTACATACATTGTTGAAATTGGAGTAACATAACCAAAAAATTTCATGATTGGGTACTTTTAAGTTGGTAAGAGTGCGCGAAACATTCCAACTTCAATGTCTTAAGAGGTTATGTTATTTTTCCACGAGTTTGAAATACTAACAAAATATACACAGTTCTGAAGATGTTCTACTACAACTTGATTGCACCGAATTTTTCAATTCTGTAAAGGGTCCCATATACGGTGCGACTGATCTGTCGAATCCATCGTTTCAAACCGATCGAAACGACGAATCGATAGTGTATGTCAAAATCATTAACGATTTTCTTAGTCAAATGGCCCATTCTCCCATTCGGAATGGGGTATCGCTTGCTAGTAGCACGCGGGTGTCATGCTGCAATCAGATTGACAATGTCAGCAGTTTGTACGAAAAAGAGATTCGAAGTTAATCGGCGGTCGCCACAAAGGCGCGGTCTATGGAAGATGCGAAAGATGTCCCTTCCCCTTTCGAATGATAAGGCGGTCGGTGCTAATCACCAGCTGATACGCGGAAGGCGTTCGAAGTTAATCGACATTCATTAATCTGTCGCCGTTTTAAAATGCTAGCCTGGATAGTAGTTTCGTTGTCACCCGTGGAGAATACCTCGAAAACAATCGGGGTGTGGACACGTAAAGTATGTGTGTAGTAAGTTGATTAACTAATCTGTGGTTGGAAGAAGCAACCTTGCTGTTCCACATGTTGCAATAGAAAATGCAACAAATTTTTCGGGAAAGATTCCATAAGCTTTGAAGCTTTGGTGGTATTACTACTAAAGATACATCAGATACATGTTAGCATTAGCGAACATAGTTAATGCGAAGATTTTCGCCCATAAGTCTTATTAATTAGGTTACCCAACATTATAATTACATTTGTAAGTCCAAGTATAATAATATAATGTGGATAACGCCGACAACCATAACCATCTGTTACAAACTATAAATTCAATAGATAATCGCAAACATTTGAAGTAAATTTACGCCCACATACGTATATTACATGAATGTACGGTGATATGAGGTCGTTTAACACGCATACTCTACGTACACTACAATATATTAGATAACGCATCCTATTAATAAAATAAAATGAATGAAATAATCTGGTATTCTCGACTTTCTATATCTTTTGAAGCCGTTAACATCAATATTGCTTGCAGGTGTTCCAAGCCCAAAGCAATATACAAGACTTACATAAAACATGATTTTTTTCATTTGGATTTATATATGAGCTATGCTTCGTTTGCTTGCGATCACCATTAAGTACCTGGTCTTTAAATAAAGTTTTTGAGGGTATACCACTTTATATTACGGTCGTGCCCGTATAAAGTTTTTCAAAATGTATCCCAACGTTGCTCAAACCGATGTTATGCGGTTGATACCTATACAGTAACCACAAACCATCTACAAGTATGGATTATTTTGAGCAACACAATTCTTGTATAAATAATAACTACTATTCGGATGCGTATTTAGGCGTATGGTCATATTTTTCGAACACACCAGTAGTTCGCTCTCTGTCACCCAGGATGAATGAAATAGTCACCAAACTATCCGCTAAATAACCTATGTTCAAAATTAATCTGAATATTTCGCTTAAATAGTAAAGTGGTTTATAGTAGTATACGGTGATCTTGTTGGGAAAACACCCAAACGTATTTTTGCCATGACCAAATAGTAAATTTGGCGCGTGTTTGATGTTACATTGACACGCGTTTCAACAACAACGCTGTTTATTCGCTCATGATGGCAGATTTTATATTGAAACCCGTTCGATTTAATGATAGTGTATTGGATTTCTTGTTTTACTTTTTTTTACTTCAAGAGTCACCGGACGTCCAGTGCTTCCAGTATATTTTATGGCATTTTGACCCAGACATGTCACAATCCTTATCCTTATTTTTATTACTGTGTGTATTATGACAAAAAGCCAGCTTCTTCCCTCTGTATTTCATGTCCGTACCACGTACCACTTCCTTTTTCTATTATTAAAATAAACAAAATTCTCTTATCTAAACGCGCACCTGCAACAACATCTGTTTACAAAATTAATTAAATTTTAGCAATAAGCACAAACCTTATCTACGACCGGAGAAAAACATGAGATCAACTTTTCAAATCTAAAATAGATACTTAATGCCAGCCTTTTAAAACAGGGTCTCTGAACGTTCGGTGAATTTGCTTTTTTTAACTAGCCCGCACGGTCGAAGATTAGAAGCGAGCTCTTGATCTATATCGCTGCATAAATCGTTTCAAAATAGTTTAATAGCGTTCTAGAGTGTAAAAGCGTAGCATCCAAATGGATGTAATTTTATCGACACAGTGTTTTTTCTCCAACAATTTATTCGCTTAAATGTTATACATTAACAATGGACCCTGGTTATAATTAAGATCCACAAACAGTTTATACTTGCCGAAAGCCCGCGCGTCATCATAGGCTTCGGTTCTTCTTTACACAAAAAATATAAACAGTATATTTAAATTAAATATTCAAACTGTTTTTAATTAATTAAGTCTTTCCCAGGCGTCTGAAAAATACGGGACCGGTGTCCACATTCTAGTTTTTCAAGAGCGCAACTAACTTCTGTAATCTCAATTTTGTAGGAGGCTGTTATCTTTAACCCATTCAACTAATTGCAGTAAATTATACTTATCCAAACAGTCGGAACGAAGTCTCCAAATTCGGCAATCCAGCAATGTCCTTTTTTCCTTAGAATTTTGGATTAAACGGCGGGGTCTTCTAGTATGTAGATATTTCCGTAAACTGCACGACCTCGCCTGTTTTAATGCTAAATTTTGTATGCCATTAAAAAATTAAAACGATGAATAGGTAATTAATTGATCTAAAACTTGATAAGATTGATTCTCTCTCTTCTTCCCTGGCAGGAAAGCTTCCGACGACTGTAAAAACAATTTAAATATTCCTACGGGAACGGTTGCAAACGGCGGATTAACTGCAGCGTGATTTACTGTAGCGGCGGCTGAAATGAAGAAATGAAATCAATTACGTTTAGCTTCTATCTTCAACTCTAGACTCTAAATCGAAGAGTTTTGTGTTAGCAGAGTCTGACTGCTAAGACCAGTAGCAATAGAGTCTCGTGCAGGATTTCCCAGCCTAAAGTTGAGATTCGAGAACAGTCCCGACATCAAGTGTCGTAACTCAAATGTGGTTACAGTTATTTACCACCCCCGTTACTGTATCTTCAAACCGAAAAATGTTAGTTTATAAGCAAGTCAGTACACATACACTGCACATCAAATTTCAAACAAATCGATGATTTCCACCAAATTTATATGAAAACGATTCCAAAACTATAATAATTAACGGTATCAAACACTTGATTCTGCAATGAGGTTAAATCAAGAAAATTTCAAGAACAAAGATGGCACATTATAGAAAAATATAAAATGTTGCATACAAAACACAAATAAATCATAAAGAAATGCAATGATTACTACCTGCAATAAATACAAAAATAACAGCAAACAAACTATAACACGATGCTTCCTCATTGACATCAAGATGCCAAACGTAACCCTCGTTGGTCCCCTCGAGATGGCGCAGACCGCTTTCCACTTCCAAAAATTGCGTGGTTGCTAGCTCTAAAAAAGAGTGCATCAGCTTGGGTTGTATATACAGGGTGGAACCTCTCAAGCATACAGTTTTCACGAACAAAATTGTACTTTCTGGCGGTCGAAGTCAAGCTGCGAATGCCTGCCCAGCTAAAAATACGACAAAGGAACCTAATCAAGCCAATGAGTTCGCGTTTTTTTTTCTACACACACCTCCATACATTTTAAAGCCCCCTACTTCTTCGTTACAGTGGTTATTAGACCAACACGTGGCAACACGGTCAATCCCGCGCTGCGCTTATGTTTTCAACCCAGATTTACTTGTAAACGCACTTCGCTTGTCATCAGACTTACTTTAGTTCACTTTCCGTATAAAGCGGTATAAATGTAAATTTCTCTATATTGAACCAAATGCAAATTCGAAAAGTTTTTTACTGCAAACGCAACCAAATTATTGTAAAGTATAGAAATATCCAGCACTGCGAACAGAAATAAATCAAATGATTTCACGCTTGGATCTTTGACATTAACAACTAATGACAGTTCGACAGTTTCGTTGGCAAGAGAAACTACCAGCTTCGTCACTCATTTTATTTTTCGGCGTAATACTGACTTGTGTTTGAACCAATCACAGTGTAGGTCAAAGCTTCCCCAAATCCCTACGTTTTCTACCGCTACCTCCCTAAAATGAATATAGTATAGTGCATAGTGCAAGAATTTGTTGTACCGCTTGGCGGACACTATTAGTTTCATTCGAAAATAATTCAAGCACTTGTATTTATATTACAAGAGCTCCTAATCAATATCTAAGTGCTGAAAGTTTTACATGGTCGATTATGATAAATTTTAAAAACATTTTTGTCTGACTTTCCACCTTTTTTTAAAAAAGGAGGAATCTTGAATGTTTAGTGTCTAAGTTCTGTTTTTTTTTGCGCACCTAGTTATCAGCATTTTTTGGGTCAGAAGAACTGGGATTTTGTAATTACGGTTCCTATCAACATATTGGAATAAGGTATCGACTTCTGTCCATTTATCTGTTGGTCAACGATACAGTAGTTTCCTTTGATAAAGTAGTGGTTGCGGACTTTTAATAAATGATAACACCGACAATATGGAGAGAGGAATGCAGTTCATCCCTTGTCAATAACTCACCTAGTGTTATGGTTTGTAAGTCCATTTGCCATTGGGTCGCACAGTATATGCAAATACATTATAGAATACAATCACATAAATTGAGGCACATACTTACCAATTTATCTTGTATGATAAGCGCATTTATTCCCATACAAAGTGACTAAAACATGTTTCTTCATTGCAGGAATTGTTGACACAACTCTTCAATTTATTCGATCAGGAACGAAAAGAAAAGCTACACCAAGAACATTGGATAGAATTTTTAAAACAGCGATTGACGTAAGTTAAAAATTGCAATTAACCCACCTCTAACATTGTGATGTTTTGCAGAAATGAAACGCAAATCGATTTCGCCGAACAATTGGAAAGTGTGGCGTTCTGCCTTTGCGGGGATGATCCGATAACTTTAGAGTACTTTTATCAAATTTTCCAAACGAAGGGGGTAGGTACGATGTACCACGGTGTTGTAATTATCACTGGATGCTTAATTTTAGATCACCGAGAAACTCTATAGATTAATTGATAAAGGAAATATCGGAAGTATTACGCCTGAAGAAATTATGGAGTTTCTAGCAGCCGTAACAAACACAAGGTAATTTACAGTGGACGTTCAATAAATTTCTAGACGCTGCGTGACATTTTCATATAAATCTTCAATTACTAACATAATCGTATGAATTAAGCCGTTTAATATTACTAGATATTTATTGCTTGTAAAATGTAATCGTAATATTGTAGTCATAATAATAATGAATGTTTCCTTCAGACCCCGAACGGGTTTTGATAAAGGAAGTTTAGAATGGCTCGAACAGCTCTTCAGGCAAACGGTTGGCAATGAAAAGGAAATTAGAAGAGAAGAATTTGAAAAAATTGTCGTTTCGAAAAATGTAAGCAACATCTTTATATAATTTTAAGGGTAATAATTAAAAACCGATATCATACAATTTCATTTTCTCTTTGTCGTAGCCGTTCTTCACGGAGCGGGTGTTTCACATTTTCGATAAGGATAATTCGGGCACGATTTCCCTTCAAGAATTTCTGGATGCAATGCACCAGTTCGCCGGCCAGTCGCCCGAGGACAAGATACGTTTTCTGTTTAAAGTATATGATTTGGATGGTAATTTCAATTTTTAATTGTGCCTAAATGTGGCTGCACGAAATGAATTTAGGGGACGGTCTGATTCAGCACAGAGAGCTTCAGCACGTTATGAGAGCGTGCATGGAGGAGAATGGAATGCAGTTCAGCGAGGAACAAATTGAGGAATTGACGGTGGCCATGTTTGAGGACGCCGATACAAAAAATCGCGGTACTATAACGTATGAGGCACTCAAGGCGCAGCTCGAGAAACATGGTGGACTTTTGGAAAATTTGTCTATAAGGTAGGTTTTCTTCAGTTAATTCGATTAAACTGTTCCGTCTTCACAGTATCGATCGATGGATGGTTCCGCCCAAACCAAACACCTCGTCAACGTCTTATATTAGAAAGTTGATGTCATACAGGCCGTATCAGTTGACAAAGCCTTACGTAAAAAATAATTACGTCTTCTTAGTATTTATGGCTGCGTTCTTTTTCGTAAATTTTGCCTTGTTTATTTCGAGGGCAGTCCAATACCGAAATACAAATTTTTACATGATTGTAGCTAGAGCATGTGGTAAGTGTACACTACTAGCAACCATTTTTAATTTCCTCTCTTAGGACAGTGTCTAAATTTCAATTGTATGTTTGTCTTGGTTCTAATGCTACGACAGTCAATAACATTTCTTCGATCTCGAGGATTCAGTGCTGTTCTTCCATTGGATCAGCACATTTATTTTCATAAACTTACCGGCTGTTTAATTTTCTTCTTTAGTGTTTTGCACACGATTGCTCACCTCTGCAACTTTGGTATGTGAACATGGAATAGTGAGTGATAATGTTACTAAAATTGCCGTAGCTGTTGTCGTGGTTAACGACCCGGAAATTAACTCGAACAATTTTACAACTTCCGAGTGGATTTTCACGAGTAAACCTGGTTTGTTTGGGTTGGTAGGTGGCATAGCTAACCCAACAGGGATCGTCTTGGTGATCATACTTTTGATAATGTTCGCTTGTTCGCAAACCTTTGTAAGAAGAGGAGGTTCATTTGAGGTTTGTATTCCTTGGTATATATGTCACTTCAAGTGTAGCCTCCAGGTTTTCTATTGGACGCATTTGCTTTACGTTCCGTTTTGGATTCTACTTATTTTCCACGGGCCAAATTTTTGGAAGTGGTTCATCTTGCCCGGCGTTATGTACTTGGCGGAGCGACTCTTACGACTGGCCTGGATGAAAAGTAAAAGGGGTAAAACTTACATCAGTTCTGGTTTATTGTTACCATCCAGGGTGACGCATTTGGTAATTAAGCGCCCCGCACAGTTCGACTTTCATCCCGGAGACTACGCATTCGTTAATATCCCAGCTATTGCGAAATACGAATGGCATCCATTTACTATAAGCAGTGCACCTGAACAGGAAGGTAAGTAAAGTACTTTTAGAATTGTTATCTATCACCTAAGTTCTTTAATAGACCAAGTTTAATAAATATTACAGTGCAATCTGATAGGTATAGTAAATATTTATCGTTCCAAAAAATGTATGTCTTGGTATCCAATATCTGTACAATATTCTCAAAGACAAATATGTGAAAAACCTATTTCAGACTTTTTTCAATTTTTAGTAAAAGAACCATTTATTGCACGAAAAATAACTGGTATAATATATCATTTATGAAGAGGATAAAATTTCCTACAATTTGCGATCAAAATTACCTCTGTAGCACCAACAGGCCCCGAGATACAGCTTTACAAATATTAAATATTTTTTCGAAAAATTGTCTCATCCCGGGGAATTTTTAGCACATTTTTTAAGAATTGGGGGGGAATGAAACTAGTTATATCCTTCATGGTACTCTAATGAAAGGTATAACGAACGGAATTAATTTCTACCAACTATTATAGCCCTCCTCCTCGACCACTTATCGTGATCGGGTATATTTCCTATATACCTCAAAAACGGATTGTCGGAAAAGGGTATTCACAAAGGGCGATTGAGACGCCTATAAAAAATATATCCATTGGTGATGTCAATACAAAAGCTATTTCGCTTTAAAAAATGCGCTTTATCTGCACAAGAGTTGTGCACAATTTATACTTGTTTTAAATTATGGGTGAAAATGTTGTCCAAAAAGTTGGTTGTGATCAATATTTACGTTAATTTTTTAGATTACATGTGGTTACATGTTAGAGGTGTTGGAGAGTGGACGAATAGATTATATGAATACTTCGACAGGGAACAGCAAAAGCTGCATAACGGCGATATTTCACCGCACCCGCCACCTAAAACGGAACCGGAAAAGAAGCGCCTGTCAAACGGAAGTATTAGTAGTCAAAGCCCTATTAAGAAATTACAAGCTACATTCACCAGAACATTTTCAAATGGAGAAGTAAACGGAAAAGGTGGCCCTCAATTGATTGGCTATACAAACGAATCGTTTGAATCTGATAATGGTCCCATATCATCGTCACAAGGAGAGTTAAATAATCATGCTTCGTCTAGTGGAACTGAAATGATGACGTATTCGCGGCCGAGGAGATTAACACCGGATAAGAAGCTTCATCGACTTCTTCTATCTACAAAAGTTCCGTTGGAGAAGTCGTTGTCTATGCCAGACATGCAAACGAAGGACAAAAAACGGGAACGGTTAAAAGCGTAAGTGTTACCCGGCTTACCGAACAAGACACCTTGGAATTCTTACAGCTTGCGCGAGTACATGCGTTCGGAATCAGAAAAGAGCTTCGATGAGTGCCAAATACGACGCGCCCGATTGAAATCTCTGGGATTGGCCTACTTGAGTCCTCAAAACAAGTCTCTTGCTCAAAGTTTCCGTTACATGAGGAACAAGCCGACAATTATCGCGTTTAAGACTCCCAGCCTTGAAAACTGCGAACAGAGAAATTCGAGTAGCTCATTGGGTTCAGTAGGTAAGTTTTGCTACGTCTCCATTCTCAAAATCAATTCTTTTTATGTTATAGGTCGGCAAATTAGTGGCTTTAGCCTTGCTTCAAGTATGGAACGGCAAGCTGAGGAGGGTCTCATCAATATATTATCTATGGGTTCGCCAAATGCGACCTTTTTAAAACCAGTAAATTATCCTGTAGGAAAACCCTTAGAAGTGAGTATTGTTATATCTGGGAGATAACAGTAGTTGGTATTTACATGACAACTCTGAAGGTATTTTAGGCTCCTAACGCTTTTGTCTCCTTTCCTAATTTTTCCAGGTGGTTCGATTTTAGCAAAGCTATTCATACCCACGTTTTTGTGTAGATCTACCTGGATGGCCCATACGGAGCACCGTCGAGTCATATTTTTAGAGCCCAACACGCTGTGTTAATAGCAACTGGTATCGGTGTAACACCTTTTGCGTCAATTCTTCAGTCAATTATGCACCGCTACTGGAAAGCGAGGCACACCTGCCCTAAGTGTAAATTCGCATGGGCTAGTGAAATACCCGCCTCAGTGATGAACCTTCGCAAGGTAATTACTTCACAAAATTCAAAAATGTTCTTGATTCAGCCGTGCTTAGGTCGACTTCTTTTGGATCAATCGAGATCAACGTTCATTTGAATGGTTCGTAAACTTACTGTCCCAATTAGAAATCGAACAAGCCGAACTGGGTAGCGCGATGGAAAGGTTTCTTGAAATGCACATGTACATTACAAGCGCGCTCCAAAAAACTGATATGAAAGCCGTAGGTTTACAACTGGCGTTAGATCTGCTACATGAAAAGGTTTAAAATGACAATTCATCTACGTGGTTATGACTTACTTTGCAGGAAAAACGTGATTTAATTACGGGATTGAAAACGAGAACGAATGCCGGGCGGCCAAACTGGGATAAGGTTTTTAAACAAATTCTTGATCAGAAAAAAGGAAAAGTTACCATTTTCTACTGCGGCCCTCCTCAGCTCGCCAGAATTTTGAGAGTAAAGTCAGATCAGTACGGATTTAGTTTTAGAAAAGAGGTCTTTTAGTCGTCATAAATTCTTTAACAGCAAAAATTTGTATTTATTTATTTCAATGTAAATATTTCTATTTATTTGTACATATCTTTAACGTGTTTTGTTTATTAAATTATGTACCTAATTCGAATACGCAATGTATGTATTTTGTTCTGTTTTGGTGGGATTTTGAGTGGAGGGCAGGATTTCTTTCTTCTTGTTATCATGAAAAATACTTGGAGCTCTGATTGCTTTAGTAAACTAACCTTCCGCAGTTAATTCTCCTCGCCAACACGAAAATATATAAAAAATCAGCACTCCGGTTAAGTTTAAATCAATCAGTCACCAAAAGATAATGGAATTTCTTTCAAAAACAAGAAGTGGACACTCGTATCGTTCTTTACTTCACCGACTCGTCAAGCATTGATCAATACCTATAGGTAACACCTAAGCTATCAATTGGAGCAAACTGGATTTTCGAAAAAAGACATTATTTGAACCAATTTGCTTACAGCTGATTGGGATAATTATTACGTCACGCGCTATGATTGGCGTTTGATATCACGTGACAAATGGCGTTATTTTTTAATCTATTTTTATTAAAATATATAATAGTTTCTCGTGTAAATTAACAAATAAAGTTATTATGCGACACCCTGGCCCCTTACTCTATCTTATGAAACAGAAATTAATTCATTCTTTTCCCACTGTCATGTCCCATATATATACAGTGTATGTATCCTGTTCTGTCCTGTCCTACGTTGGTACATTAGCCACATATTTTGTGCCAGTCCAGCCGGCCACATTTTAAATTAAGAATTGAGGTTAAGCTTTAGCAGGACTTTAATTTGAAAGTTATATCTACAAAGAATGCATGGCTTTTAACAAACTCTTCCTAAATTATCCTATTACAACAGCCACAAATATTTGGAAAGGGTACGATTGAAACACAACTCCAATTTGTAATACACTTTTTATTCATCCTAGTTGTCCAATTTAGGTTCTATAGAATGGCATCAGAAAGTAAAAGCCCTCGACTTGTCCAAACGATTGGCACTCACAGCGGCATCTTTCACTGTGACGAAGCCCTCGCATGCTTTATGTTAAAGCAACTACCTGAATATAAGGATGCCGAAATTGTTAGAACAAGAGATCAATCGGTACGTCCTTTATAACACAAAGTAACCTATCTGCTTACATTTGAATAGGTTTTAGATACTTGTGATATCGTTGTTGATGTTGGTGGTACTTATAATCCTAAAACAAATCGCTTCGATCATCATCAACGGAGCTTCACTGAAACATTATCAACTGTCCGACCAGATCTTGCAAAGGATAAGAAAATTAAGTAATAAATTTGCCGGTTTGCATTCCAATTGAATTTTGTAAATTTCAGATTGAGCTCTGCAGGTTTAATTTATGCTCACTTTGGAATGCAGGTCTTATCTGAAGTATTGATTCAAAATAAATGTGATGTTTCTACCACAAAACTCTCTGCAGTCTATCTACATGTGTACGATAAGTTTATAGAAGAAATTGATGCCATTGACAATGGAGAACCTATTTGTGCAGATGGCCAACAGTTGTATCATATTAATAGTCATGTGAGTGAACGTGTAAAAAAAATAAATCCTCAATGGAATTCCAAAGAGACCGCCTCGCCCGATAAATTGTTTCAACGTGCAATGGAACTTGTAGGTGGGGAATTTGTAGAGATTGTTCTAGAGGTACTGTTTCTTTGATTTAAGCTCTTTTGCATTTATATATTAGGCAGGTACAGTGTGGTGGCCAGGCCGAGAAATTGTCTTGGACGGTATAGAAAATCGAAATAATCTACACGCTTCTGGACAGATCATCGAATTAAGTGAAAGATGTCCTTGGGTGGAACACTTATTTGGTTTGGAAAACGAATTAGGCATACCTGGACTCGTTAAATTTGTATTATTCCAAGATCGTGATGGTTCCTGTAGAGTTCAGTCGGTACCAATAGTTCCGGGAAGCTTTATTTGCAGGTGACTTTACACTTTATCAAGGCGATGGTGATAAAGGCTTGCAATTTTAGAAATTTTCTACATGAAGATTGGAGGGGTCATAAGGACGATGAATTATGCGAGATTAGTGGTATCAATGGAATTACATTTTGCCACCATACCGGGTTTATTGGTGGAAATAAAACAAAAGAAGGTGCGTTGGAAATGGCAATCAAAAGTTTACATTCGTCTGTGTAATTTGTACTTAATTGTTTTACAGTCTTCTAGTATAATACTAATGTTCTTTTTAGTAGATAAAACATTTAATTTATTTTGTACTTCATTTTTAATGTAATAAAACAATAACTATTACTAATAAAATAAGTAAATAATGAAGACTACATTTTTTGATTGAATTATTTCAGCTCTAGGTGATAATCACTAGGTGAACGATTGTGATCAGTGTTGGAAAAACCATATAAACCCATCTGGATTTTTTTGGGATTTATGTGTGTTTTAATCCTTCCATTAGTTTGTTTTAGTTGAATTAAAGTAAAAATGAAAACCTAATAGCATAGTATAATACAAAAGGCAGCCAACCTTAATTGCAAAGATTTCATTAAATTTGCAATACCTATATGGGAGGATTTCAAATGAATAAAGCTGATTTAGAGGTGTTTAATCAGGTGGGGATTTCTTCTTGCAAGTGTGAAAGGTTTTTCATAAGCTTTGCTGGATTACAGCTTAATCGGAATTTTCAAAATTTCTGTCATAAAATGGCAGCCGCTGTTAACGGCCCCCGTTAAACAGAAAGCTAGCTTGGTTTCCTTGCTGACCGTGAACGGCGCCAAGGAATCCACAGCCATAATACATTACGAGGTGCAGTGGTCCGCCGTTGATATCTGATAGCGGCCGCCGACGGCTTCAGCGAAAGTGGGCGCGTCTATAAAAATATCGATCAACCGAAACGGGAGAGGGGACAAGGGTAAGCATCTTAAGTGGATAATAGTGGACACTGTAGAAACGGCTAAAGCCGACACGTGTATAGAACGGCTTTAAATCTTTGCCGGTGGAAGGTATAATGAAAGCAATCGACGCCACAGCGATCCCTGGGGCCTGGGTATCTGAACTAATTCATATTCAGCTATCCTACAAAGTGATAGGCAGTTCCGCGGGGGAAGTATTCATACAATCCGATTCTTCACTGTATCTGTTGCTCTCTCCTCTCGTGCGGACCGCAGCTTTTGCGTGTCTTAGCAATATGAGAAGGGACTCTTCTAATTAACCTGTCTCCTATTACTTTATGTGGTTTTACTTGTGTGGTAAAAAAATTTTGCATTATCACATGTACCTACTTTTCGTGTGAAATTAGCCGAAGGTGGAGTAGAGACGCACCATTTTGATGTTTTATATGTACATACATGCAATTTACCATTTTGTTGTTTGCCCTAAATTGGCCGTAGATTTGTATACTTATTGTGTTTTGTTCTGAATTGATCACGTTTTCTGTTTGCATTTATGATGTCTCTTGTGTTCCGTTCCTGTTGATTTAGCTGCATTTGATTCGATTACCTAATTTGATATATCGTGATTTCCACTTTTATATATGATGCCTCTTGTGTCTCGTTCTTGTTTACTTACTGCATTTGACTCGATATCTCATTTTTATTGTACACTTTCAACAATTTGCGATGATTGATTTGTGTATTTCTCTTTTGCATTTTGGTGGTCGTAGTTGATATTTCGTCTATTTGTTTTTTGTCCCTAAAAGGTTTTTCTGCTATCGCCTTGTTATGTGCGTACCTATTTTATATGTTTTTGACTTTTTGTCTTTTCTTACGCACAGGATTGTGGTATTTTTATTCATTTCCCTTTCCGATTAGGTCTCAAGACGTAAAAGAACCGACATTAGTGTACACAACTTATAGGAATTAGATTTGCAAGTTGAAATTTAATTCTTATTCCGTAATTTTATAATATAGTTATTTACTCAAATTCAATGGTTTATTTATTACGTATTTTGTCTTCCCAAGAGTAAATAAAAAATTGGTTTTTTATTAAGTACTTATTCAAATTTGAGAAATAGGATATCTCTAGAGTTAAAAAGTGAAATGGCAATTTCAAATTAAATTTATTGCACCGCTTAAGTATATATTATTGTGAAAAAGGAAAATACATTCTTCAAATATATATTTGAAGAATGTATAGTTAAAAAATGTATATTTGAAGAATGTATTTTTCTTTTTCACAATAAATTGTTCTTTTGCTCTAATATGGAAAAGAGGTAGAAATTAGGTACTTAGGTACTTAGCTAATTTCAGTGTGTAAAAGAAAAACAGTACAGTAGCATTGTTTAAATACTTTATAGTTGAACAGATCCAATGTAAAAATACTTGCCGTTATATTTCTTTTGATACAGCTGTACCTTCCGCATTTTGCATCCCGGCAAGTGGTGTACTCTATTAATAACAAACAAAAGTACGTTAAAAAAGTTGAGGATCACAACTTGACTACGCATTCCTTTATAAACAAGGATAAAGTATAAAAACATTAGAGGAATGTCGGTGTTGATAAGCAGATATATAAGGTGTCATTGTTTAGAATGATGGTATATCAAGTTACAGCTATCTTACATTATATGCCACGAGACGATTATCCCTTTAATAAAAGACTGCATACGTTTGCCGTTTCAGTAATAAAGTTCCATTTTGCCAAGTTTACTTAGCTAATTCTTTTTTTTTCAAAATATCTTTGAATTTAAACCATCATCATTTTGGTAGAAATTTTAGTGATTATGTACCTACTTGCATTCTTTTGTATTAGTTACCGTTGCATGCAAAAATGAAATTACAGTTACTTACTTATTAACCGTGCATGATGAGAGCATAACACTATTTGTTTGTATGCAAGTTACAAAAAAGATTATCACTTAAGAAAAACAGCCCTCGCCATTTTCCTACAGCTACTGCAAAGTGTTGCCAGGTGCGACGGGATTCATTGGTGCCGAAGCTATTTTACGCGGACAAAGTGCGGACTGCAGTGACGATGGACATTGGAAATGTCTCTAAATTACTATTTGTTAGTTCAAAGTGGTTAATAATGTGGACATTATTACCTAACTAGTAGTCAATAATGAGAACTGTCACTTTTAGAAAACACAACCCGAAATTTCGCTCAGTAAACGTTTAGACAAGTTCTCTAAAATGAATAATTGCCACCATCAGCCATTTCCAGAGAAATTACATATCTAAAATTATCACATTTTCAAAAAATTCGAACGAAATTACTCTTTGAAAATATCTGAATGACAAAAAATAGGGCCTGGTTGACCTCTACTTCCACGTACTTGATGGTTTTTGCATGTTGTTTACTCTAATAGCCATGTCACAACTGTTTTTCTAACCACTGGTAATTATATTCCAGAAAATGATGGCAAAACGTACAAGTGGACCTAACGCATATAAGTATACGCGCGGTTTCCTTTTAAAGGAATTTTTCAAAAGAAATTGCTGTGTGATGTGTGATGAAATGTGATGGTTTTGTCCGCCCGTCTGTTCGTTCGTATATCCATCTGTTCCTCGTCTAAACTTGAAAACGAAAAGAAACAGGGACGTTAATCCTTCACCAATCGATTTCAAGGATTAGTCCTAAATATTGAAGGATCCTTAACTCGGTCCACCACGTTTTTAACGTCCATTTATTTCAACCTTGCAAAATACTAATAAATAAATTCGAATTTAGGACATCATAATAATGCTCTTGGTCTATTTCCCAACGATCTTGGTGCATGAATAACGATTTTGACATGATTTGATCAGAATACATATGGTCAATAAAAATACATCAAATTCATGTTTCCGGCAATGAAAGCTTTTACAACTCTAAATTCATGTGTGAAGACTAATTTTGGGTACATTTTGCTCTAAAACTTTTGACCTAGACCACAGAGAAGAATATTGAATTGTTACACATCTAAGTGTCAGGGAATAATGTAGCGACAGTCCGAACTCGATACATGACCTAGGCAATGAAAATATGTTGATTTCTATTATACTGAGCCCACAGTGTTTCCTGTTCCCGTTTCACTCGAAGTCCTATAACTTTTGTTCCTGTTGAGCCAGCTTCCTGAAAATCAATAGCGTCCGACCCTCGATACGACCTTAATGTCCAAAGTATCTACTCGTACGCCATTTCAACATGATCGGTCACTTTTAAAAAGAGGTATAGTGCACACGGACGGACGGACAATACAAAACTATAAAGGCTCTGAAGATCCTTAATAAATTAGTGTAATTTAGAGTTTTGAACAAATAATAATAGGTATAAAGGTAACGAAATACATTTCAATTGAATTCAGCTTTTTTTCGACTTCTAATAATAGCATTGTTTAAAGACTTTATAATAAAATCCATACATTCTGGGTAAACTCCCATACAAATGAATACCGAACGATCTTCGAAATTGTTTTTGGCTCGATAGTCTACCTCTACGTAGCTGAAAAACAATAACGACCTTTCTGATTTGTGTTAAAATTTTCAAAGGGATATGGGACGTTTTTAAACAAAGTTATCGTGCACACTGAACTGACAGACAGACAGACAGCAATACAAAATTATAAACGATCTCGAGGATCGTTAAATGTGAATAATCCACATTACGTCAAAAAAATTGGGCAAATGTTACGATTTACCTTTTACAGGGATTGTATTGTAGGGACTTGAAATCAGAGTGTATTTACTGCACCGTCGCATGCTTTTTTTAATACAAAAAGTAAAGCAAAAATGCAAAATTTACTACCAGATTTTAATTATCGTAATTTATCTTGTTTGAACGCAACCTACTCACCCCGGAACAAAAATTATTATAAATGCGAATTCGCTTAAACACACAAATAGGTAAAAACAAGTAATACGCATAGGTACCTACGTAATTTAATTATTATAAGCGCAGTGAAAAAAAACGGTCTTTACTTTAGAGCTTCAAATAAAGATTAAATAAAATATGTGACTCTTTCTCTTAACAGTAAAGTAAAAGGAATTTGCTGTCGAACTAAACATCAGCGTTTTGTTTATATAGTATAATCGTAGCCGTATAGAGTTACAACTTGCATTCTTACTCAAGGTCGCCTCAGTTACGCTGTGCAGCCGATCGGGTTACATTGAAGGAGAGCCATCTGTTGACGATTTTTGCAGGCCTTACTAAAAAGTCTGTAATGATAAAGCGCAACCTTTCGTCGTAAACTGTCACTACTTATTTAGACCACGATAGTAGCGCCAACTGGATTTTCTAGACCAGAACTACTTATTTCGTTCAAGTAATATTTCCATATGGTTGTTTAACTATAAAGTATTTAAACAATGACAGTAGTTAGGTAAGTGGCAAGGAAATCAGGAATAAGGAAGAGAGTGTATGGACTGTTTACCGTATTACTCAATGGTAATACGACGAGAAATGTCTACGGATAGGCTATTGATTTTATTATAGTATACCTAACAAAAGTAAATTACAATCAACTATAGGTACATTGCGATTATTGAAGAGCACTTAAGTTTTGCATTTGCTCAATTATCCAACCATAATATGTAGACACTCTGTTATAAACAACGGGCCCTTCTTTACAATCTGCTAGTCCAAATGACATCACACCAATTGCCGTATAGGAACCGTAATTTTCTTCAAACACGAGTGCATTTCCAGAGTCGCCCGAACACGTACGTGATTGATTCATGCCTTGCGCACAAATGAAATTTTCTGCCAAATCTCCACCATAAAATGATCCACATTGTTCGTTGCTAATAGTAACGGCTTCCATACAATTTAATATGGTGCTTGCTTTGTTCGAATCGTCGTAATAACCCCATCCGCAACCAATTACTTCTTTATTTACAAATGTATTATTACCATGGTACAGAATGACTTCACGAATATCATCTGTGAAAAAAATTGTATGGCCACAATTTTATGTGTTCAAACAAATCTTTTATGTACTTAAGTATAATCAGAACAAGTAGAGGATATGTAGAAAAATTATCGACGACTTTAAAATTCCTGCGATCAAGCATGTTTCCAATACAAAATCAATAAAGGTAAGTACTCACCAATTTCTTCCAACTTTCATGTAAAAGTAGGTACTCACCGTTGTAGATGATTTCATGTTCTAAGAGAATAACTCCCAAATCATGCCTGCTGCTGCTCTCCACGTATTGTTCATGGTACACCCAAGCTTTTGACCTTATTTTTTGATAGCTTGCCGAATAATTCCGTAGATCGTGTGTTCCCAAAATAACATTAATTCGATTTTGCCTAAAAAAACAATATAATATTTTATGGAAATTTCAGACGCAGTTAATAGTTATTTGTACAGAGAAGAGAGTGCAAATATTCATCGATGCTGTAGGAAATAGTGATGTCCAGCAAACATTAAGGTTAGCAAGGCACGAGAGGACGGATAATTATCGCGTGCGAGCCGTGGACTAGCACCAAAGAAGAAGAATCCAATGAACTGGTTCGCAAATTAATAGAAAGAGTAGACCATCTTGATCAGAGTTTTTACGTTTCTGGGCATGCGACAAGGTTAAAATTGCTCCCAGCCTGCAGAGGCCAGTAGCAGCAAACTAGAAGAGGGTCAATGCGAAAGTGCAAAAATCATTCCCCGCGTACTACATTTGAGTTTGATTTTTAAAACACAAGACAAACCGTTTATATGTGGATGGAGCCGTCACGGGAAAAAGTTGTTCACTGTTGCTGCGACCCGACCTTGTGAAGAATGAGAAACTGATGGCATCCACCCTTATAGTCTCAACACTGCAACTGGTATCGCGGATGAGATGATCTTGGGAATGGACTCGATGAAGAAATTTGGATTTCCTATACAAACTTCAAGAATGAAGTGCTACAAGTACATGTGGGTAATGAAGAATTCCCAGTTCAAGGAGTTAATTAAAAGGTCTACCAGCTACCTACGTAGGCAGTTCGTTTTAAAAATCCGCCATTGACATTGCAGGTCCTTTTCCAGAAACAGACAATGGAAACAAATACACCTTGGTAGCGATGGACTATTTTTCGAAATGGACAGAAGCTTATGCCCTTCCTAAATCAAGAAACTGTCACTGTTGCGGGCATGTTGGTGAAGCAGATGTTTACCAGATTTGGAGTCGCATTGGAATTACACTCTGACCAAGGGTAGAACTTTGAGTCATTATTATTGCAGAATATGTGCCAACTGCTGGGCATCCGAAAAACTACCTTTTGAAGACTTTCTGGCACATTATTCCACTGTCAGGAAGGTTCGTAATGGCATTGTGCGCGAAGAACAACGAGACTTGCTCGAAGTTCCTCCACGATGTCCCGAGGAATTGCTGTTGAGTTTAAGCTCCGTTTTTGTCACCCAAGGTACCTGTAACGTCCACAGGTGAGAAAGACGTGTTTTCTGAAAAGCCAGGAAGATTCCTCTATTACCTACATCGTTAGTAAAGGTTCAAGTTCAGCGACCTTCCCTGTTATATGTGGATATGTAGATCGCCTTACATCAGGATTGGAAGCGACAGATGCAACTTCAAGACATCAGAAAACTGGCAATTCGAAAAATCGGCTGTGGGTTGGAGCGGTTGGATTGGTGTGTCGTACACAATATACTGAAGATTATATTTGGTCAAATCGATACGGAGATACCTACTAGTTCGTCAACCTGCAAGACTGTTGACTCCTTCTCCTTTGCCAAGGGAAGCTACCAAAGACGGTAAATAATAAGTGTCTTTACAAAAATAGTATTTTGAAAGTAAGTATATTCAGTGTTCCAGATAAAATTTTCACCCTGGTTATTCGTATTAGATTGTTTAATTTAAAAACGATATAATAGTAATAATTTCATACTCGCCAACAGTTGTCAAGCAGTGCGCCGCTGTCAAAACAAATCTTCTGCCAATTATACTTCCACTACAAAAAAACATACCGCTACTGTATTCGGTTAAAGCGGCCTAAAACAAATATACAAACAAATGATGTAGGTACAGTTTGTTTACCGTAAAAGGGTATTGTCCTGGTTTGCCCTCAAAGCCGTTTATAATTTTTGTGTCCTTTGAACGCCTGGGACTCTAGATTTAAATCGTTATAGTTGTTCGTGCATGAGCACAATATTACCTGCATACTCGTACATGCTAAGAAAAAAAGGAAGGTAATCTTTGTTAGGTTCATATCTCACATAAAATCACTTTGAAAAAGATCTGCCTTTCATAATGTATTTTATTATCTTTACTTATGTTTTATTAATCCTCAGATTTCAAGGAAAAGACTCATTTAATAATGTACTGAGATAGTTCTGTTTTCAAAAACTTAGAGTTTCAACGGCCATAACATTTTAAAAGTCAGATAAAGATCTTGTACTAATAAAATTAAAAAAAGGTAGGTAATTATCAAAATTTAAATAACGTATGTGTGTAATGGCGTAAGTGCTGTTAATTTAGACTGGCTGGAAAAACTGTTTGCAAAACGTGGAACAGTCTTTTTATTTTTCTGAGAAAATATACGAACCTACACAGGCTGTAGGTACTGAAAAGAGTTATGCTTAACAATTACAGTTATCAGATTATGTTAAGTGTTTAACGTATACAATTGTAAAAAGATAAAGTGCATGACTCTTTTTCGTATCACGTTATATCTCCATGTGAAAGAATGTATCATAACAAAGTGCTTGAGAATTTCTTCTGTGCAAGCACTGCACACTATTTGGACTTTGTCACGGAGACGGTGTTTGACCAAGACCCATAAAATGAAAAAAAAAGCTACTTACATCTATATTTTTCTAGTTATCTCTTTCCTAAATCAATGCACTTGGACCTAGTGGCAGCTGGGTACGGCAGAGCTCTGGAGAAGTGGAGAGCCGCCCGCCCTCAAAATAAAAAACAACAAAATGTAATTAATCCTTCAAAAAACAATAACATATTTCCCCCTTTGCGAAATACTTTTAAAAAATAATCAGAACAAGAAAAACAAACGATCATAGGCATATACGCCTCACTTTTGATAAAACTCGTGCTTTACAGCGCTGAGAAAGGATCTTCATCTCGCGCTCCAAATCTTAATGGAATGGATATGGGACTATTGATCCGTTGCATGTACAACATTTTTTAGATTTTTATTAGTTTTATTAGACTAAGACACGCTGAACTGCAAAGTGCAAAGGACATAATTATGGAGATGGTAAAGTTAGATTTACACAATGGCCCGTATGAATAAAAGTAAGCAAATGCTTATACTTGCAAAATTCAAAGTAAATACTCGTAAGTGCTCCTTCGCACTGGGCGACTTAGCAGCGCTTCTAAGCAGAAGGACAGGACGCAGTGCAGCGCTGCTAAACAGACCAGTATGAAGGGGCAGTTACGAGTATTTACTTCGAATTTTGCAAGTATAAGCATTTGCTTACTTTTATTCATACGGGCCATTATATGACTAAGTGAAGCTGAGTGGAAAGAACAGGGTGAGAGTACAGAGTGGTACACGCCGCTACAAAAAATGGTCACACAGGGAAAGGGCTTGTACTCAAGAAGAAGCTAGGCAGTATAATTAAAAATCTGCAGATAGGATAATACGTGATTGGATTATTGTAGGTAGAATAGAAAAACCCTGGACACGATAGCTGTTCAGGTTTATGTACCAACTTCTGGACACGAAAATGAAGAGATAGAGCAGGTATACGGAGAGCTAGAAAGCGCATTAAAGGGAATTAGGGTCGAAGAGAATGTAATTATCACAGGAGACTGGAACGCGGTAATAGGAGAAGGTAGGGAAGACAACATAGTAGGACCGTTGGTACGGCTCAGAAAACAGAAATGGGAGGGGGGAGACCGGTTAATACAATTTTGCGCTAAGCATAGATTAGCTATTACTAATACATGGTTAAACAACCATAGTCAAGTGACGTCACACGCTGCAACAAAATAATTTTCTTCTTGTAACTTTTTCATTTGTGTAGGCATTTTAATGATTCTTTCGCATTTTTGTTTCATTTTACTTAAATTTTCATAATTAAATGACAGCAAAAAACTGGAAACTTCTTCATTATGTTTTCAATCGCCCTCATTTCTGGGGAATGCCAGAGTACTTTTATGGACCTGATTTACTTGTAAAAATTATAAACTATAAAAACTGTGCACTTATGGAATAAGAAAGAAAGTGTTTCCCATCTTGTGCTCGGCATTTTCCTTTAGACGAAAATCACAAATTTGCGAAGGTACTTTTTCTGCAGAAGATGTTAATTTGGCCTCCTGGAATTGAGTTCACTAAAGTCCTGTCACAAGGACGTGTGTGCGCGATGTAAGCTTTATAGGGGAGTCGATGGGGTACGTCTGTTCTCCAAGCGCTTGGACCGATTCGGTTCAAACTTTTCACAGTTGACTTATATGCCACATGTCAAGCCTATTGAAAATGGGTCAAATCCAATGACCACGTAAGGTCAAACCGAGGTGCCCTGCCGCTTTTTTAGATCCGCTTTGGGGGTTGATTTTAATGGAACTGGTATTACGATTTAGAATAAAATTTATTAGAGAATACAATTACATTTAATTAGATCATTATAGAGGTTTGAATGCCTCAATTTAAAAAGATGCCAATTTTCCATCAATCCAGCTTCTGTATTTGGGAACGCTTGTGTATACAGATGGCCATCCCTTTTCGCAACCAAATATTATACCAAAAGATACGACTCCGTATTGAGTGAGCACACCATCCCTGGTCATTACAAGTGGGCCGCCGGAATCGCCCTGGCAAGATGATTTACCTTCCCATCCATTCATGCAGATGTGCTCATCGCGAATGTTACCGAAATAGAAAATTTTGCAGATACTGTTTTCTATAATGGTTGAGTTTACGTAACGAAGAACACTGCTAACGCCTTGAGCAGAATCTGAGTCTTTTCCCCATCCGGAAACTGTGGCTTGTAGGCCAGTTAGAACGGCGTCTTCGGTTGCAGGAGCCAACGCAAGGATTTTAACAGCTACACCTGCAGCGAAATCAAGTTAAATTTATAACTTCGACAAGGGTTAATTATTTACCATCAACTTGAATAGCTTCATTAATTTTGATGATCGCAATATCGTTCAAAATAAATAGGGGGAACCACTGTTCGTGGACAGCAAAGCTGGTGGTGTTGAATTCTTGGCGATGAGATTCTTCAGCTTTGATGTTGTGTGCTCCTAGCATAACTAGAGCTGAGGAAGCGCTGCAGTAAAGGCATTTTAGTGGGAGTTTGGGTAATTTGTAAAGAACTTACCTAGAAACGCAGTGCGCAGCTGTAAGAATGTGCTTGTCGGAGATAAGGGAACCTCCGCAGAAACCTGTTCCTTGTGGAACTTGGATGAATATTGCTACCTATTATGTAAAATGACATGTAAGTAAGGAACTAACAGCAAAATCATGTAAGTAAGTACCTGATACGGGAAACCATGAAGAGCGGCTTCATCGCCCCCAACAATTTTAGTTGGTGGGTCGAAGTGGATGAACTTAGCCTAAAAAGTATTTTAATAGAAGCAGAAAATACTTGAGAAATAGTATGTTCTCACCTGTACAAGGGCTAGCAGGAGAATCGAATACGAAATTAGGGTCTTCATAGTTTCAAATCAGACGAGTGAAGTAATTAACGTTCCAATTCTATGCCCTTTTATATGATTTTTTTTATCTCAAACCACTTCATAGTATTCAGAAACAGATTCGGATTGTTCACCTGTGGTTCAAGTGTTCAACGATAGGAGGTTTGATGTTAAAAAATTTCCATTAAGGAGCTTATAGAATATTAGTATATGAGATCAACCACTTCTGAGGTACCAGCGAGCAGTTTCCTGTAAAACTGCAGGGATAGGTATAGTATTTTCCAAAAAAGGAATTTCTTCAACACTGTAGATTTGCTATAAAAAGGATTGCAAAACAAAAAAAGTCACCACAGGGGCATACCTTTAAAGGAAATGCGAATCCTGAACATCTTACATCAAGAAAATTCTATTTATAGCAACATTTTCTAATTAAGGAATAAACTCGTACAAATGTGATTGAAAGATAAAAATCACGTAAAATGCCGTCTTGGGTGCTGTACTCGCCTTACACTGAAAATACACTGAAAATAGTTGAAGAAAATGGAACGATGCATGGATCGATAATCTGTAGCTTAAAGATGGCATTTGTATGATAAATTGTCATTTTAACGCACATGGGCACGTTTATGGCCTAGGGTGCAATCATTGATAAAACTAAGATATATCAGTACTTGCAGTTGTCTTTAAACTTCAATGTCCACATACACATTCTACACTGCTTGCGCAATAACCAGACATCTTAAGAAAATTATTTGGGTAGCTCGTCAGAATAGCCACTAAACAGCATCTTTGAGGTCATTATGAGAAGCAACCCTTTGGCTTTGTATAGGTGTTTTATCAACTTGAAGAAATGATAGTAGTCGCATGATTCTAAATCCGTACTATAGGCTGGACACATTCAGCGATAACATACAGTGATACTACTTCTTTGGTATAGTTGGGAGATCCTCCATGTTTTAAGCAAATACACCGGATTTGTAGAAATTGACCTAGAAACCAGGGTAACGAACTGAACTTGCTGGAAACAATTGTGGTAATAGCAAAATCGATCAATTCGGTTAAACAGACATATCGTAGGCCTCGGTTAAACCAATCATGCCAGAGAAAAACATTTGAAATACGTAGAGTACCTCCATACTAAAGATTGATTGTACCTATAGTTTTAATATATAGTTATCAAACCTTTTCAGTCCGATGACAACTCTATATATCGAATCTTCAAATATATGTATATATGATATGATGTATTAATACCACTAGGCACTTCTGTGGTTTGAGAGCCCTCGAAAGTATTTTCACTGCATGTATTGTTTAAAGTCCACCAAATCTCGACTTCTTAAGTATGATATGGCCAGTACAAGTCGTATTGTAATATCCTTGCCTAAGTGTTTATAGTTTGGAAAAAATCTTTGAGATGAATTTTAGAACGTAAATCAATTATTAGAGTAGGGTTTTTATGTTACCTGTTGTAATAGTGTAACAGCTGTTTATTTATCAAGTGTGACTTTATTCGCTCGAAAAAGGTTTAATTTCCGATGTCTTTTGTCGAGGAAATTGATTTCTCAAAAGGATAAAGAACCAATAACACACCAGTCAAATACAAGACTTTATCCAAAACCCCTCAATGAGCAAGATATTACTCAGTATTAAAATCTGATGTGTTATCCGAAATGCGAGTCGTGGCCGTGGTCGTGACTGTTAATGAAGGCGCTTAGGGCAGGTTTCCGTGAAGTTATTTATTAGAGTATAGGTACACTACCTCGAACATTTTGGCAACAAAATTCGTACGGAATAAATTTAATTCCTGAAGAAATTCGTGAGGAAATCAAAACTCCTAGTGTATGCTCTCGATTCCTTTGCAGTCCATCAAGACTGTGTACGAGAAGGTGCATGCGTAGTTTGAAACATTGTGCCTTTTGAAAAACGTGCGTGACGTCATGGAAGAAGTTTTATTCGCATATTTTCTGCATTTAGGAGAAAAGGACGCTGCATCCTCTATGTGAAGCAAATATTCGACGCTCAGGACCACATCGAAGATCCACAAGAAGCTGGATATTTCAAAATGTGGTCATTTGATCGTGTAGGTCCAGTGCTGCTCACACACAGTCAGCTTCAACAAGCAATTCACCATTTTTATTAAATAGTATGCAGCTGTCCTGGTGAAAAATGGTGGTTACTTTCGGGACATATCTGGCATTCTTAAGAATAATTTCATGCTGCTTACGTATATTTAATACAGATGATAGTTTATGGGAAATCGAGCAAGCGACCAATCAGGTCTAAAACTAGCCCCGGAGTCCACATACCACTCCGAATCATTGAAGACTGCATTGAACGCGTTAAGTACCTACCTTTATTTATTTATTTATTAGGACACTTGTTCATGTAATGCCCATGTTTCTTGCATCGGAAATAATGTCAATTTGCAAATTTCTTTACGGTCATCTTAATGGCATTTAGAACCGTTGCTGTCATTTCGGTTGTAGGTCCTCAATTGTAATTTAGTCGCAAAAGCATTTCCCCTTTTTCCGCAACTGCTGCCTTCTTTATGCGTATCTAGCAACTTTGTCTGGATCGAATTATCGCGTTATATGGATTCCGCTATACTCTATGGCCATTATCATTGGAGCTAATCTCTCGAGCAATTCCGCTAGTAGTAATGAGCCTATCGTCGATTTTTAAGACAGTTTTCTTCAATGTTGGCGATGCTTCTAGTACCTGATTAACATAGGATTCCAGAGACTCGCAACTATCTAGCCGAGGAGTCCTTAACAAGCCCATTTTCGAGTACAACCAGTACAACCATGCTTTTAAGTTTGTCCTACAGTTCTTGTGCAGTTTCAGCTTCTTTTATGGGCACGTAAATCCAGTGGCGTAACTAAGTATTTTTCGAAGCGGTGCCGGATCAGGTTTTGGCGCCCTACCAGATTTTGGCGCCTAATCAGTTACCATTGCGCTCTAATTAATAAAACACGGTACATTTTTGAGAGAAACTTTACACGAAATTTTAACAGCACTGCACCCTTTTGAATTTACACACAAATTTTGCTTACTTACATTTTAGAAAGCTGCCTTGAATAACGAAATCTTTCACTGAATGAAGAATAGAAATACATTTATTTATAGTGTTTCCAATTCTCGCGTCAAATTTAAGTAAGGCACGGGGCCCAAGTCGTAGAAATGATTGCGTGCAAATGCTGGTTACACTAATACAGACTATTGTATAGATCACAAATGAAGTATTATTATTATTATTTTAAATCTGCAGCCTTTTCCTACCGCTGTAACTTTGTACTACAAGGGCCATCTAGAAAGTAACAGACGTTTTGAAATAAAAAATTAAGAAAGTGTAATAAACAACTTTTATTATATACATTTGGAAGCTACACTCTTAGGCTATTTTTCAACACAGTCGCCATTCATATTGAGGCACTTAAGAAAGCGTAGTACAAGTGTTTTAATTCATACTGTGTACATGCGCCGTCTGTGGGGGCGTCGGAAGCGGGTACCGACAAAGGGAGTGTGGTAGCTTTCGACAAGATCTTACTAACGGTGGAGTCAAAACTTCAAACGCGAATTCCGGGCGAACGGGATGTCGGAGGTGGGTACCGACAAAGGGAATATGAGGCCCCCGACAAAATCTTAATAAAAGTACTGATCTGCCACACAAAATGCGCTGAAATCCCTTACATCTCACACAAAGACTTTGATATTTTTTTTTACTTTTTAACAATGTTCGGTTCATCCTAAAGGAGCGTAAATTTAGTTTTAATTATATTTCAGTGAACCCTGTAGTCGACTTTAGCAAAGTATTAGAATTTAAACTGCCGTTCTTGTCTTTTATGACTGGCCTATACGGTACACCACGTACTGCCCATCCCGACTTAGTGCCCTCGGTCTTTGAATATAAATTATATTCAAAACCTCGGTGCTTCAGCGCCTCCGGCGCGCCCTCCCCCATTCAGAGCGCGCTGCCTCGGCACCTTTGGCACCTACCTAGTTACGCCACTGCGTAAATCGAAGCATCCAATGTGAGCACCAATTTTGCTTCGGCATTAGTATGTAAGTGGTAGTGTCCTTGCCATTGAATGTTTGTGAAAGCCCTTCGAGCACCATGAAATTTTCTACGGTGACTTCCAACCTTCTTAGTTCTCGCGTCCTAATAATTTTGGTACACTGGACATGTAGTCAACCGTTTCTATATATCCGATAATCGTCTATTACTGGGTCCAATAACGCAATAACCTGTTGCAGAATTCTGTTTTTCCACAAAAGGCGGATGAAAATAGACACGCTTTCATTTGGCAATACAATTTCTTTATATTATTCCCTAGGAAACTGCGCTACATAAGTAAATACAATTATACAATACTTATAGAATGTTATTTGTTATTAACATATAAAGTGATTCGAAATCTAACATACTCGAATAAAATGTTGAAGCCTATTCATATAACATTTTGAACGCGTAGATAGAGTACCTTCACACTAAACATTGTTATTATAGTTTTAGTAGTTTATGTATCAATCTTTTCAAGTTGGATGACAACACTATAAAAAAAGTTAAAAATCATATATTATTTCAATTGCCATTTCTGTAGATAAATTATTTGTAGATTGCGGCACTTCAGAAGTTTAAGAGTGCTCAATAGTATTTTAAATGTATTGTTTCAAACGCAGCAAATATCGACGTCTCACGTATGATGGCTATCAGTATCACTATCTAAATGTTTATAGTTTCTCACCTCTAATAGTGCCTTCATTCGTCGGTAAAAAAATTCATCCCAACGATCTATATGGTTTAGATACACCAATGTAGACGGATAGTCGCGGTTGTTAATAAAAACGTTGCCTATCCAGCGTATAAACTACTGCTGTACATTGAAACCTATACAATGAACCCCAACAGACAAATCAAAGCTATTTACATAAACTTTGCTTATATGCTATCAGAGTGATAATATGATAATTAATGGTAGGTACTTAAGAATCACCGCTTGAATTATTCAAGTACTGCGAATTGTAGTTTTTCTTTGACTCTTGCATATTGGGTAAGTACAATGAAACTCAATTATTCAGTGTGTTCAACTATTTCGATGACCAGAATACCTATAAGCAATAAGTTATTTGGAGTAACTGTTAAACTTTAATCAATTTGACTATTTTAGGCAAATCACTACCTGTAATCAGCTAATCTTTCGACTACTTGAGTACTTTGAAGTGACTCGAGATTAAAAATCATATAAAAGAGCATAGAATTGGATGGCTAATTACTTCACTTGCTGATTTGAAACAATGAAGACCTTCATTACATTTTCAATTCTCTTACTAGCCTTTGCACAGGTACGTACATATTATTTATCAACTACGGTTCTATTAAAATACCTTTTAGGCTAAGTTCATCCACTTCGACCCACCAACTAAAATTGTTGGGGGCGATGAAGCCGCTCTTCATGGTTTCCCGTATCAGGTACTTACACGATTCTGCTGTTAAGTAGTTCCTTACTTACATGTAATTTTACATAACAGGTTGCAATATTCATCCAAGTTCCACAAGGAACAGGTTTCTGCGGAGGTTCCCTTATCTCCGACAAGCACATTCTTACGGCTGCTCACTGCGTCTCTAGGTAAGTTCTTTACAACTTACTAAAACTGTCACTAAAATGTCTTTTTACTGCAGCGCTTCCTCAGCTCTAGTTATGGTAGGAGCACACAACATCAAAGCTGAAGAATCTAATCGCCAAGAATTCAACACCACCAGCTTTGCTGTCCACGAACAGTGGTTCCCCCTATTTATTTTGAACGATATTGCGATCATCAAAATTAATGATGCTATTCAAGTTGATGGTAAGTAATTAACCCTTCTTGGAGTTATAAATTTAACTTGATTTCGTTACAGGTGTAACTGTTAAAATCCTTGCGTTGGCTCCTGCAACCGAAGACGCCGTTCTAACTGGCCTACAAGCCACAGTTTCCGGATGGGGAAAAGATTCAGATTCTGCTCAAGGCGTTAGCAGTGTACTTCGTTACGTAAACTCAACCATTATAGAAAACGATATCTGCAAAATTTTCTATTTCGGTAACATTCGCGATGAGCACATCTGCATGAATGGATGGGAAGGTAAATCATCTTGCCAGGGTGATTCCGGCGGCCCACTTGTAATGACCAGGGATGGTGAACTCACTCAATACGGGGTCGTATCTTTTGGAATAATATTTGGTTGCGAAAAGGGATGGCCATCTGTATACACAAGCGTTCCCAAATACAGAAGCTGGATTGATGGAAAATTGGCATCTTTCTGAAATGACGAACTAATTTCTCTAATAATGATCTAATGAATTGTAATTATATTCTTTAATAAATTTTATTTTTTTAAGTAACTCACATGCATTTTTATTAAAACAAAACTGCTACTATTTGTGAACTGTTCTTGTTCAAGTAGGTTTCCTGTCGAATGGATTAGGAACCCAGTTCCAAGCGAAAAATTGATATGTTCTGGAAAAAAAATACTTATCGCCGGATTTTTTTAAAATTTGATTCGGGATTTTCATGTTGAACGCCAACAAATATCTTATTTCGTCAAAGTCAACATTTTTTCGCCTCATTTTAGCGGTGCAATACCTTGCAATAGGAATTTTTTTAATATTACAAAATCAGAAAGAATGGAATGTTTCTTTATTATTTTTATTACTTTTATTTTATAGTGGGCGGAGTGTTAGCAATTTGCTACTCTTCCCACTCAACCCACTGTACAATCACAAACAGCCATGCCTTACCGGATTCGAACCCAGGGCCCTTGTAGCCAAAGTTAGAGCTTCTAACGTAAGCTCATCTGAGCTACGCAGGTCGGCAATGTAACGTAACGTAACGTAAATTCAATTACGGTGTGTTATTTATATGAAATTAATTATTTATGTTCACAAGCTCTATTAACAAGAAACTAAATTAAAACGGTCCTTGATAGATTGATTTTTAACAGTTAATTATTCTCTATCCCTTACTTATACTCAAATATATAACACGAGCGCGATTTTCACTAATTTAACTTCGGCATCGATGTTGAGACTGAAACTAAATCATTCCTTCCCGTCGACTAATCCTTTATCGACTTGATGGCGACTTAATATTGCTCTAGTACCTACAGTATTTGCCAAACGAAACGTCTCTCGGTTTATTTGGAAAACATGTTGTTCCTTTCGAATATGTAGCTAATTATCGTTATGTTATGTTACGCCTGGATTGTAGTAGGTAAATGTAGATACCTAAAGAGTTAAAGTGCGCATCCTTTGAAACACATGCGTAGAATTAATAAACTATGTAGTAACTAAATAACTGATGTCCATTGTCCACAAATGCCAAGAATTTCTAAAACTGTATCAGCACCAAATGAGATTTTTCACGAATCCCAAGTGTAATGTCATATTTTAGAAGTGTTTACTCATCAGGTGCCGCTTGGACGCGTCTTTGCGCCTATTGTAAAATATATGTTCAGGATATATCTGTCGAGGAAGCTTGCTATCCGCTGAAAGAAGGGCATATCTCTAGACTTTTAGCCTTTTAGACTATTCTTTAGATTCCAATCAGTGCAGTTAAACATATTAGAACATACTGTTGGATATACCTTTCCTGATGTGCAAATAGTCGGTGAACACTTTTGTTTTGAACGAGAGTAGCAAAAGTGAATCTCATAATTTTGAAACCAGCTAATTTACTATTATTGTTATTAGCATGGGCGTACGCAGCTTTTGGTCTAGGGAGGGACAAAAAATAAAATTGGCGAAAAAAAAATGTTTAATGAATCACATAATATACATTTTTATTTTTAGTAGGGAATAGTTACTAAAAACGTCTACAAAATTATTATATCTCAAAATATTAGTTATTACCCCTTTAATATCAATTAATTTTGTATTAAATATGCAAAAAAAACACGGGGCCAAAATAGATAGGTAGATATAAAGGCAATTTCGGTATATCGGTAGAATTTTAGGCAAATCGGTAGATCTACCGAAAAATCGGTAGACGGAACATCACTGGACTGACCACTGCACAGTGGTTTGTGTTAACGGGCGATTAGTGAACGATAACTTCGCTCAGCCCGACGGCAAGCGAGCCGGGCTGGCGCCTAGCTATGCAGGTGCCTGTGTACCGAATAATCCGATGGGCATGGGAACAGGGATCGGTACCCTAATTTATAGCTTAAAACCTCTTTCATTGCTTAAATCTCAAAGGAAAAGGTTTTGAATTAGAAGCCAACAAAGACAATTCTTACAGATATTTTTTAACAAACATAAAACGTAACCTGTGGCCAGGCCGGGGGGGGGGGGCTGCCCCCCCTTGCCCCTCCCTGCGTACGCCCATGGTTATTAGAGTTTTAGTTATTTTTATCAAACTTTTGAAGTTGATTATCGTCTACAACAGATTCAAGTAGGTACTTCTGTAGATAAATTATTATTAGATTAAGTATAACACTCACTGATGTATTGTCAAATTTTTCCAGTTGTGATGGTTCGTGCAACTGCACTGCGTCTGTTCATAGTATCAGAATTACATTACATACACTTCTCGTAGTGCTTCAAAATCATGACTTTTATGAAATGGAATAATTGAAAAGCAATTTTGAAACAAAGATTACATGTAGTTGATCTGATTACCTACTCTGAACCGCAGTTTTTCTTTGGAAATCTGCGGTGTTCTAATAGCATAAGAAGTTACAAGCTTGTAAAGATGACGTATAAGGAGATTATGTTTTGTTTTAATACTTCCATTTAATCATATGTCAATTTGACATCAATGCGGTTAGAAACAAGGATAGTATTATCGAAGAATGACGCAAACTAGTAAGAGAGGCAATTAGTCCATAAGACCCCATACTGAATCTGGAGGTGCGAACGCGCTATAGTATGAAAATAAGAATACCTAATATATGGCGTTTAGCACATTATTAACGAGCTCCGGCGAGTTTATAATTTTGCAGTGTCTGTACATCCATTCGTTAGCACGATACCTCGAAAACGTATGGACCGATTACGATGCAATTTTGCAGGTATATTTTCTATCCAATTTGTAGCTCGGGGTTCGCAAATTGGTAATGTAAGCCAAAAAATAAGTGACATCTCCGTTAGTTATGAACCGAATTGCATGAAATTCAATATGGGCATAGCTTTAGCCATATAACACGTAATGCCAAAAGTTGAGTCTAATCGATTCAACATTCACAGTGCCCTTTTCGCATCTCGACCATTTATGAACCGAATTGCAAACTTCTTTATTTATGAATGTATTTAAATGAAATTTGATATATAGGCACTTGGAATAAAAGCAAATCTATCGCCAGTTTCAACATTGCTAACATCTTGTTCTTTGTTTCTTCTCTTGTGGCTGAAAACATGAATTGTTAGTATTTCATTTTTACTTAATTTTTGGTTTTTAGGGACGGTGATCCCGTCCGACCTTTTTTTGTTTTGGGGACGGTTATCCAGTACTCCTTTCTTCAACTAATTCAACTTATTTATTAGTATCTTTAAAATACTAATTTTTTTTTGTTTGGTGAGGTTGCGCCATTTCCATGTCTTTTTGTTTTTGGGAACGGTTATCCAGTACCACTTTCTTTAAAACTTTCACTAACTCAACTATCACATGATAGTATCTTTAAAATACTAATAACTTTTTTTGTTTAGGGAGGATACTCCAGCCCCATTTTTTAACACTAACACGGTTTTACAACAGTAGAACAGTAGAATACTCAAGGCGATGTAAAACATATTCGGCAAAGATCATGTAGTATGATCTTTACATTCGGTTACTTAGGATAAGCTTCCATGTCAGCCACACTACCTAACATTTCACATTAATTGATGCGAATAAGAATACAATCATAAATTCATCCACACTTGTTGGAAACCCTCATTTTTTTAAACATAACGGGCGATCAAAAAATCATACCATCATGACCTAGCTGACAAGAAAAAAACTTTCCAACTGATGATCCTCAACGTGTACTTAAAACATATTTACATAACCTTTGCGTAATATCAAAACTACATGGTACTTCATATAGTTCAAGAATTATACCTAAGCGTACCACATAAGTACCACTTGAACTGATTACCTACTCTAAACTTGATTTTTTCTTTGGTTTTAATCCCTTTTTATCCAATTTAGAGTTTCATGCAATTCATTGTTTTTCATCTGCTAATCTTAGGATACTTGAGTACTATAAAGTCACTTGAGATTAAAAAGTCATATAAAAGAGCATAGAAATGGATGGCTAATTACTTCACTTGGTGATTTGAAACAATGAAGACCTTCATTGCATTTTCAATTCTCTTACTAGCCTTTGCACAGGTACGTACATAAATATTATTTATCAACTGCGGTTCTATTAAAACACTTTCTAGGCTAAGTTCATCAACTTCCACCCACCAACTAAAATTGTTGGGGGCGATGAAGCCGCTCTTCATGGTTTCCCGCATCAGGTACTTACTTACATGATTCTGCTGTTATAGTTCCTTACTTACATGAAATTTTACATAACAGGTTGCACTATTCATCCAAGTTCCACAAGGAACAGGTTTCTGCGGAGGTTCCCTTATCTCCGACAAGCACATTCTTACAGCTGCGCACTGCGTTTCTAGGTAAGTTCTTTACAAATTACCCAAACTCCCACTAAAATGCCTTTACTGCAGCGCTTCCTCAGCTCTAGTTATGCTAGGAGCACACAACATCAAAGCTGAAGAATCTCATCGTCAAGAATTCAACACCACCAGCTTTGCTGTCCACGAACAGTGGTTCCCCCTATTTATTTTGAACGATATTGCGATCATCAAAATTAATGAAGCTATTCAAGTTGATGGTAAATAATTAACCCTTGTCGAAGTTATAAATTTAACTTGATTTCGCTGCAGGTGTAACTGTTAAAATCCTTGCGTTGGCTCCGGCCACCGAAGACGCCGTTCTAACTGGCCTACAAGCCACAGTTTCCGGATGGGGAAAAGATTCAGATGCCGCTCAAGGCGTTAGCAGTGTGCTTCGTTACGTAAACTCAACCATTATAGAAAACAGTATCTGCAAAATTTTCTATTTCGGTAACATTCGCGATGAGCACATCTGTATGAATGGATGGGAAGGTAAATCATCTTGCCAGGGTGATTCCGGCGGCCCACTTGTAATGACCAGGGATGGTGAACTCACTCAATACGGGGTCGTATCTTTTGGAATAATATTTGGTTGCGAAAAGGGATGGCCATCTGTATACACAAGCGTTCCCAAATACAGAAGCTGGATTGATGGAAAATTGGCATCTTTCTAAAGTGAAGAAATGATTTCTCCATAATGATCTAATTAATCTAATTATACACTTTAATAAATTTTTAAAAAAACCTTCGTCCTTGCTCGATTGAATTATTAATATTCCCGCGAAGGTATATCCAGTGTCGTAACTTGTACATCTTTCGCATTCCTTTCACATTTAGTGTGTGAAGTGCACATTTATAGCGGGAACTATCCAATGTGTAACACCAGAATAGTAATTTAAGGTACACAGATTTTAACTGGAGCATATGAAACTTTTCCAAAGGGTCTATTTTGACTTCACTTTTAGAATACGATATGCTATTTTAAGTATTTGTGTTTAAAGTTTGGTCGTGAAAGAAAGATAGGGAAGAATATATAGATAGTATTTAAACATTTTTATATTCTTATCTTTTATACTGTATTTAGATACTTTTTGGAAGTATCAAGCTCTAAAAGGCAAAGGTTATTCTAAAAATCTATATGTATGTGTAACTATACATATGTATAAACATGAAACAGGGATTACAGAGAGCCGACGCGAGCTCCGTGAAGTTAGCAAGGTCATTAAAAGCACTTACGACGGTACATGATCACATCCTTGGTGCTTCGTTAGTGCCTCTTATTGCTTTATAACTTGTATCAGCACGACCGGCCGTTTCCGAGAAATCGACTCCCCCTTGTGTAATGCGGACTTCCTACCCTCGTTAGAAGCAATAACGACCGGACAAATACTAATCGTTAGTGCTTCGTTAGTGCCTCATAGTGCTTCATAACTTGCATCAGCACGACCAGCCGTTTCCGAGAAATCGAGACCCCCTTTTGTGCAGTACTATCTCATTGCTCTATATAACAGTCTTACATGATTATTCTCAAAAAAGAGATGTAGGTAAATAACCGCAACACTACCAATAATTAATAAAATACGTAGCTTAGCTTATATTATAACCATATCGTAGACATAGAAAAATGTCCTTACTAACCTAGTTTTTTAAGACTGCCATGAATTTGTAAAACAATAACGTATTCCATTAAGGCTGCATAGCACGCATGAACTAAAAAAACCGTACTTGACAAATATTATTATCTGCAAAGAGTAAACCTTGTTAGCTCCTAAAAACCAACAAAGTTATTTACCTATCGAGTAAATTAAGGCTATACATTCTCGTAACTTGTCATATAAAGGCAACTAAATTGCAAGGTAGGCCGCGTTTCTCAATGAAATCTTTCATAGGTACTGGTCCTTACCTTTGTACATTGTTCGGTGAGTTACGCAGCTTAATTCCAACGCGTCTTAGTGCTTTTTTTGGTTGAAGGCAAATAAGGGTTTCAACGACAGAGATGTTAGATCCTTGGGTTCCAAAATTGTCGGCGGATCGGAAGCATTTCCATGCGAATTTCCTTATCAAGTAAGAAATTGTCCATGTTGAGCGTAATTAAGTGCCTATAGTAACGTGTACATTTCAGGCGGCGATCTTCATTCTTGACGTAGACGATGAAGACCTTTTTTGTGGAGGTTCCCTTTGCTCAAGATATCACGTGCTAACAGCAGCGCACTGTTTATACAAGTAAAGTCTCTACGTACTTTGTTCCATTGATTTTCGACAGTAGGTAACATAGTAACATAGTGACAAACGGTTTCATCATAATTAACTTTTAGATAATGTTCTATATCTCTTATGTACAGTCATTGACAAAAGTAATGATCGCCGAATAGGCAGCATACGCAACCAATATTTGAATATATTGTGCAACTTGGAAATGCGAACCAACAAATTAAGGTAGAAACCACGGACCCCGATGTGGTATAGGTATGTTGGTTGCTTATCCTATTAGACGATCATTACTTATGTCAATGAGCGTACCTAATGAAGCGCTCTGTAGCATAACCACCACAAAACATGCATTCGCATCTATAGAAAAAGGTATGCAAGCATATTGAACATGCAGAAATACATTGAGCGTTATACATAAAGCATGAATAATAATTTTTGCTAACAAAAAAGTTTGAAATTGGTTAGTTACTAATTTAAAATTCTATCTTGAAAAAGGTTAGCTCACTCGCTTCGAGTCTGAATGAGTTGGAGTTGCTGCTCATTTACCTAGAAAAAGCTGCTGCTCAGATGAACGTTTTGTCTCCACGTGTTTTCTTTGCAGTGGCGGTTTCTAAGTAAGGCTCATCTGGAAAAACGGTCGTTGTATAATTCTGTAATTAAATTAAAAACGCTTCAAAAATGGATATACAAAAATTGTTACATTTTCACTCCATAAAATAAATGTTAATAATTTACAGTGCAAGAGAAAGTTTAATCCTGCTGGGAGCTCACAACATAACCGTCAACGAGCCTAACGTCCAACATTTTGTATCTTCAAGATTTTTTGTCCATCCAAGGTACAGCAGTAGCACGATACATAATGACATCGCCGTTATTATGTTGCCTAAACCTGCTGTAATTAACGGTATGCAACTTATACATTACTTAAATAGCCAGCTACCTGTACTTACAATTGCAGAATTTGTTCAAATAATTTCACTACATCAAAATCAAACGTTGTTATTCGGCCAGGAGGGCACTGTGTCCGGTTGGGGCCTACAATCAACTAAGGCTAGGGATATCTCCCCTGTCTTGAGACATGTATCCCTAAGGATCGTGTTTCACTTCATTTGCTCTGCAACATATAAGGATTTCACTAGCGGCACACAAATTTGTCAACACGAAGCAAAAGGTAAATCAACCTGTTCAGGAGATTCTGGTGGACCAGTGGTAGTGTACGATAGAAAGAAACGCCGTCGCATTCAGGTGGGGGTTGTATCGTTTGGTCACAGAGACGGTTGCGAGGTGGGAAAGCCTGTTGTACAAACAAGAGTTTCTGCTTATTATTCCTGGATAGAAAGTATAATAAAGAACGATTATTAAAACCCCAACTGTTTCTTATAGTCATTCAACAATACCAACAAATATAGTAACTGTGTTTCAATACATAATGCTACGTTTCCACGCTTCCGTTCAAAGCGACATTCAACGGGCACAATCACGAGCACGAGCATGTAAATGGGTTGCTCGCCTCTGCCCGCCTCTGCTTTCCTGCTTTTGCTTGTGCTCGTCACCGATCCGGACTAGTGTCGGTTTTTCGACAAAGATCAAAGGGTGAATCTGTCTGCCCTCGTGTACCTGTTTACATGCGTGGACGGGCTTGGTGCGATTTCTATAAATTTTTATCATCCACCACCTTCTCCGAGCTCTTCGTCTCTTTTCAATTCGTTGTTGTTGTTTTTTCCAATAAAAGTACGTATGTCAAACCGAACGGAACAGCTGCAATAACATCTACGTCCGCCATGTTTGGTTGTGAGCTTGTCCTGAGTTGTGCTCAGATGCGTGTATACAGCTTGCTTTGTACGCAGTGATTCGCCGAGCAGCTTACCGAGATGCTTGCCAAGCTGTTTGCCGCGTGTGGAAACGTAGCATAAAACTTCATGAAATCTTTGAATATAAATTATATTCAAAGGCAAAATCCTATACAGTAAGTAAATTAATATTTACTTACTGTATAGGAACATACAAATCTCCTATGTCCAACTCTTAAATATACATGTCAAATACCCCTTAAGATATGCAACCAATCTTACATACTTTCATCTTTTTCAAATGTTTTTCAATAAAATCCTTCTGTAAATCTTCTAGTGAAGCAAATGTTCTCTGGGCGTAGTTTTTTGAATCATAGTATTTATGGGTTACAGACAAGCAAAATTATATTAATACGACCGTTTGTTGTTAATAAGTTTTATAACAGTTCTAAATGTTTCTTATATCACCACAACAAGAGAGATCCTCACTAAGTAACAATTTTACACCCTGTTTTTTATTACTGTTTTGTCAACTGCGAGCGATTATAACAATTTTATCATTACGAATTCCGATGACAAAGTTTAATTCCCATTTTTATTGTTGCAGACGTGCCGGAATAACTTGGCACTGAAGGTAAAAAAATAGCCCTTTTGTAGCGGAGAATAATATGACACCGGCGCGTTTAATTGATTTGCCCTTCACTGGATACGGTAATAATTTTATACGCGATGATAATTCGCCTACCCAACCAGTATTTTATCGTCGTTTATTTAGCATGGATAAAACGCTGACACGTTCGAATTAATTCACTGCTATAATGTTACTTCATTTGACTGTAAACGCACGAAGCACGCGTAAAATTGAGACTCAAAAAAATACCCGCAATCACATCTTGGTTTTCTGGTGTCCAAAAAAAAACGATAACTAATTGGCAATAAAAGAAAAGTAAAAAATACACGTATGGAATTCTAATGGATAAGTTTAAATATTCTAGGCCTTTATTAATTTTACAGGTTAACTTAAACTCTAATTGATAGTGAAGAGTGTTATTTAGCCGCCGTAACCGCAGCTATCCAATCTCTGTATGGATAAATGTTGGTATGCACAATGGGCATACCCACTTTGCAACCAAATGAAATAATACCGATAAGCACATCGCCCCATCCGTCATTCATTACCACAGCGCCTCCAGCATCACCATCGCATGATGATTTTCCGTTCGGTGTGCTCTGGCAAAGTTGGGTGTCCAAAATCGGAATGCGGTAAGCGTCTGAGCACTTTCGGTTATCCACTATCTCCAATTCGACATGTCTCAATGCCAGTGCCATCGAAACATTTTTTGATTCCATTCCCCAACCTACTACTGTGGCATTCTTGCCAACTAAGTTTTCATTGGTGCATTGTAATCTAGCCTTGAAAACCTTTTCTGAAAGTGTATCAATGAGTTTCTATTGTTCCGCTATTCATCACTACCCACCACCGTACACTGCAGCCTGCGGCAATTTGATGATAGCTAAATTATTTTGAAGAGTCTTTCTACTCCACTGTGGATGCTTGATGAAGGTGCTGGAAGCAAACTTTTGCTTTCGAGAGATACCAGCGATCGAGTGAACGCCCAAATATACAGTGGCGTTAACGGCCCTATAACAGTGAAGGTTTTAAATTCAAATGAAATCTATTTGTGGTCATATAATAACAGTTCAGTTGATGAATTATACCTACGTATCGACACAATGTGCTGCTGTAAGAACAAATCTTTCTGATATAAGAACACCTCCACAGAACCGTAAACTTCCATTGGTACTTGTATAGTAGATGAGCGCCTAACGGTGTAACCTACGTTCAGTATTAAATTGACGGTATAAGATATTACCTACTTGAAATGGGTACTGATGATTCTCTGTCTCTTCACCTCCGGTAATTCTCCATTCTAAATGAGAATTGCTTGACCTTGCCTACAACCAATATTTAGGTATGCACGTTCCGCATCAAAATTAGGAAATATATATGAGTACCTTTACTAAAGCACATAAAATCATCAGCGCTACGATGCACTTCATTTCGGCACATATGATGTATAGTAAGCAATTTTTGAGACGCCATTATATAAGTACATCTCCTGGTGTTCATGAAAAGCTTAATGTCCACATAATCAAGATATTTGTGTTTATTTAATATGAATTATGGTTATTTTTCTTGGGTTTCAGCATGAAAAAGGCTAGAGTCTACAATCATGTTGAAACTTTCTATTAGACATATACGTACAATTTCTTTGTTTCCGTTTGCAAGTGAATAGACCACAACAAATGAGATTCCGACAGTGCAAATACCTAGCACCTAGTAATTTACCAACCTTGAGTAATACTCAATATTTGGAATTTGGTACTTATTTTATTGTAATTTTCGAATTAAACATAGCACATACCTATGCAAAAGAAACAATTGTTATGTACGGACCAACAGTAATGAATAATAATGATTATTTTAGTATTAGGACCCTAGTCCTAGTTGGATCTTGTACTAGGTACGGTGATCGTCATTCGTCGTTTACCTTTTATATATGAAGTAGCACAGAGACAGAACAAATTAAAGACGCGATAGGATATAATGAAGCTTATTCTTGAATTATCATTTTGGAAATGAACTCTTTTTCATTTACAATCTACTGTAACAGGTGGCCGCTTTAGGCTTAGTCAGATTTGATTTCGAATTTACGAATTTGCCAGTATAGGTAATTTTATACGTGTACCGCTTCATAGTGAAAAAGAACGGAACTAAAATGCTATAGAATGAAGCGCATTCAGATAAGAAGCAAAAAGGACCCAAAGTACCTACTCTTTGTAAAAAGCGAGCGTGCAAGTAGATAAGATTCAAAGCACCACAGGGTTGCCGTTTCTAAAGATCGTTCTTACGGAGCATGAGGACCGAACTTTCAGCTATACCCCTACATGCCTAAAAAAAGCGGCCGAAGTTCCGTTGGGTCTGTTTCGGTTTTCGATTTTTGAACTTGGCAACTGCATTAGGAAAAATTAGGTGGGAGAGAGAGATTCTTCGGTAAACCTTCAAGACGAACCTGTCTATAAGGCTTGCGCGGCATTTTAGATCGCGAACCATTTATTTTGCACTGAAAGTTTCAAGACGAATCCGTATAATCGAGATATACAGAAGGTGTAACAGCCGCGGTTTTACTGCGAAAGTTGAAGTTAATTGCCGAATTACAAGAAAAACTCTGCCGATATTTCGGCGAAATTATTGTAGGGTGTGCTTCTATTTAAGTGGCGTAGCATTTTCGTTTTATTGTATTATTTGATCAGCGTGATCGCGTTTATATAAATTATTTGCGCGAAAGCGTGAAACATTTGATTTTGCAATTTTTCTTGTAAATTTATATAAAATTATAGTGTGCACGTCATTTTTTTGTCCTCTTATCTCTATCTCATTCTGTAAAAATTCAATATGACGCCCTAAAAAATAAGAAAGTAGTAGCCTGTAGCTGTAGCTTTTACATCTAGGGTGTTATGTAAATTCTAATAAGAGATTCAGAGTCTCTGATAAATGTGCCCATATAAGGTGCTAACGGGAACCATCTATTTCCGACCGAGAAAATAAAAACGAAATTTGATATTTCTGATATTTTAGTTATTTTCAAAGATTTTTCAAAATTTTGTTCCCATTTAACCTATACTGTATCTCCAACCGTTACGGAGATTCCAATGGTGAGCCACGTATTTAAACCACCCTGTACATCAAGACAATGCAATATCCTCGACGAAATTAGTAAATTCTGTTCTACTGGAGGTGTACTTCTGTATAATGGTTACTAAACAATCTATAACCTTCACATTTTTTATTAATTTATTAACAATTTGTGCCTTTACCTGCAAATACATCTTTCTACGTAAAATTTAAAGTTAAGTGAACAAAAAGCACAATCTAAATTGCATTGCACAGTAGATATCACTTCGTTAAACGGTGTACAATGAACTCTCCAAAAAAAGCTGTGGTAGATAATAACAAACCACAAATGAATACCACAAAAACGCCACTGAGGTGCTCAAAAGAGAGAGCCGCCACCTCCTATTCAGAAATGAACTTGCTCTTCTCCTTCTCTGCGTAGAACTTTCTATCTTGTTCCAACTTGTCGTACAATCCACTTTCAGTCAGCCTATCAATAAACACGTCCAAACTATCAATAAAGTAAAAGCATTTCTCACTCACAAATACATTCGTGATAGTCGGAAATAGTTCAGTGTCAACAAAATAAGGTGGTGGGGATACCTGTAGTCTCAATTCAATAGATTGCAATGTCTTGAGAAGCATGTCGAATACGAAACTTTTATCGGCATACCAGCTTTTTGTTAGGTTGTACGGGTCATCATTTTTACGCAGAGGCTGTTTGAGCTCTTTAATTGGTACGTCGTTAGAGATAAACGAAAAAATTCGAAATATCATCCAGGACTCAGCATCTAACGAAATGGAAAGATTGCTCCTCATCAGCTCGGTAAAGCTCTCAATGTGTTTTCCCGTTGGTAGCGACACCAACAACCGCATTAATTCCGCAACCTACGCGGTTTGTATGTGTATACTGTATATGATGTAACACATGATTGAGAATCTTGCAGTTGAACAGTTGGGAATCCAATTGGAACTGCCACACAATGTCATTCTGACAGTGTTTGTTATAATTGTACCAAAGCTCACTTTAAATCGACAGATAACGTACCAAGTTGCAGCAAATAACACAACAGCCACAAGAATCGATATCCAAACTTCTTTCCTGAAAGTAAGTAATAAAACCTCAATATACGAGATTTTATCTGCTGGAGGGACAACGAACACAACGTTATCCCTTGCAAATACACGACTGACACGATACAATATATGTATTAAAAACGCCAGTGACATATCGCCAAATATATTCGGAATTGGCCATAGTTCATTGATATCAACAAAGTCGAAAGAAATGTTTAATCTTTCCTGCGTTACATTCAAGGTATACGATCTAGGATCAAACTCGTAACGCCATTTAACTGCGACACCGACAGTTGCGGGGCAGCCATTATAGTTCCTGATAGATTTAGGAATTGTGTCCGTAATTGAACCTATACAGCTTTGATTGTGGATCACGTTTACTTGTTTTCCGCAATAATTCAACGAGTGGTTTGGATCTCCCGTAAATAAGAGCGACTTCGTGCGGCTTTTGATGTCGATCTCCAACACTGCAACGTAGACGACGCCGTTCTCCCAAAACCACTTCAAGATGGCTTTGGATAAATTATTCTGGTCGGTTATCACTAGAAATCGTCCATCGAGCAATTTATGGTCAGTTTTGTTCAAATCTTCCATGATTCCCTCAAATATGCTAAAGTTGTTAGCTTGAATTACGCAATTGTAGATTTTCCAATCGCATCCAAGCACATCACTTTTGGTGTCATCAAGAACCTTGGGATTAGTTACGTGTAACGGTAAAATATGGTTCAAGTTGGATAGTAAACGAAGTTAACGGGTTCTTTTCCATAAATCGTTTCAATAACCATCGCGCCACATTCCTCTACCCATCGCGACGATTGACAGATTCCAATTCGCGAATGAGTTTCGTGCAGAAAAATTGCGAAAAGGACACAAAATAGAATATCGCCTTTCATTACCGCTACCGCTACCACAGATTATATACCGCGACTTATTACGACGTTATTACGAGCACGTTCACAAATTACGCGAAGTAAAGTAAAACTCGAGCTAGAACTTTTTCATGGAATTGATTAATGACTTTAATAGCCATTTATATTCTTTGTGAAACCTTGCAGTCTATAATTTCACGTTTTTCCGCCAACATACAATGACATAGTAAAATATTTACTGAACAAGCTCGTATTTACCTAAAAATAACAGAGTAACAAAGGTGACACGACCTTTCATACTTTGTTGAATTTGCGATCGTTATTTAATAGCAGACGTGAATATCTAGATTTGTCAATTATTTCCATAGACTTGGAATAATTTTGAAGGGTATTCAATGTCCAAATTGGGAACACCCTGTAAGATTATTTATAAGTTTTGATAATGTCTAATTCATTTAATGGTCGCGTCGTTCTGAGCATTTGAAAGCTGCCAAATTGCCTATTCTTCTAAGAATCACAGAGGGTTGCTAGCGATCTGTTTTCCGCTTGTAACTTGCAGAATCTTCTCCAAGGACCCAGTAGTAACTTTCCAGGTGCGTACCAAATAATAAATCATCAAAGGTAGCTAGGGGTTTTCCGGGGCAAACTTCCATAAGGCGATTAAATCTACGATACAATTCGATTTAGTGACCCTTGAGCACAGAACAAGTGCACTTATTTTTAGAGAAGTGGATTCATGTGATCCTTGAAACCGTTACTAGTAATTTTGTTTTGTGTTGCTATCTGTCTGGCTGCATACAATTCATTGTCAGTTTAGAAACATTCTATATCGTTGAAAACTTGATATAGAGATATACAGGGTGTCCAGTTACAATAAAAAATGTTCGTTATTTCAGATACGTAACTAATTTGTTAATATTTTTTTGAAATTATCCTTGATATATAGGTAGGTACCGATTTATTATTCAATGCTAATATCGTAGAAAATATTTTGCAAACTCCTATTTTAAGTAGGCATCCCAAATAAATATAACTATACAGGGTGTTACATGACCGTATATAAAAAAAATTGGGTGATAAGTGCAATCAAGGACAAGCACTTTTTCCAAATAAACTGAGGCTCCAACGTGTTTCGTTTGGGAGCCATCCCCAAAGAAGTGGTGTAATTTGGATTTCTTCTTTAATTTTTTTCTCAGTAAGCATAAGAGTTACAAAGATGGGTGGTCTTTGAATAGGTTTTCGGGTATGCCCTATCCGATTTTGAACAAAATTTTTCAAAATTCCTTCCACGAAAGGGCGCACCCCACCTTGGGGATGCGAACAAAAATTCTGATTTCGACGAAATTTGGTGTCTGGGGGTTTTTGAACATGGAAATCACGAATCTGGAATTAGTTTTTGAAAATTGGAAAAAAAGTGCCACTGCAATTTTTGTCTTGACAACGGAAATGGAGAGAATTCCACGAAATTTGTTGTGTACATATGAGTTAAGGAACAAAATTGTCGAACAGTTTTTTAAACGGGGTAGGAATTTTAAAATTTTTTTTTCCAAATCGGATAGGGCATACCCGAAAACTTATTCAAAGACCACCCGTCTTTGTAACTCTTATGGTTGCTGAGAAAAAAAATTAAAGAAGAAATCCAAATTTCGCCACTTCTTTGAGAGTGGCCCCCAAACGGAACACGTTGAACCCTCGGTTTATTTGGAAAAAGTGCTTGTCTTGGTCTCCTCTATCACCCAATTTTTTTTACATACGGCAATGTAACACCCTGTGTAGATTAAAGCTCAAATTTTATGTTGAATTTATTAGCGCGCAGATTGAGAATTTTTTTATATCTTGCTTCATAAAAAACGTAAGAAACACCTCAATCTGTTTTGCTGTCTCGTTTAATATTTTTTCTTTACTTTGGCCAAGGTTTTGCAATCACTTATAATTTAAACATAAATAAATCATTTCTTATCTATATGTGCACGAAGAAACATTAAACAACTGGGTACAAGGTGAAGTCTATACACTTTTAATATTCATACAACTTCACTCCCTCTCAAAAGGCTGATAAAATTTAAAATAATATAATAGATAAAATATCGGCAAAAACGTACCCATATACGTCTTCCCAATTACCTAACAATGCTTGTTGGCATTTTTAATAGGAAATATTTTGGAAATTTAGGAAACGAAGACCTTTCATTTGTCATTCCTGGGGATTGCGGTCCTAGCTCTAACTGGAAGCATTGAATAAATTTTTTACTCACTAGTTGAGGTAAAGTTTAGTGAGTGACTTTTATCGTACTTACACAAAATCCCTCGTGATTGATTATTTATGTTCCGAAAATAGCTCTTTTTCGTTTTCATTTGCCCAACTTATAGGTATAGGTCTCATATTCCATATTCTTCCAATGTTCTCCTGTGTTAATATGTGTGATTTCTTCTGTGGCCCAGGGAGAAATGTCTGTATTTGTCTATGGCCATTGTTTACTATGGCCTTGTCTGTTACTGAAACTATTGAATAATAATTAATTATATTTACTTATTCAATTCTGAAACCAAAGTTCGAGTATATAGGCACCTTATCTTACGTTTGGATCGCCCTTTCATCGCCGCACATCAAACAGAATTGAGTCATATCCGTCCCGGTACATCTCGCCTTCACATGACCCATCTCCCAGTACTTAAAACATTTAGCCGATCTCCATTCCCGGATGCTATTCCTGACCTTACCGTATTCTTGTATAATTATCCTTTATGAGGACCATCTCTCGTTCGACCGTGACTAAGTCCGTTGCTGTTGTTTTTCTATCTTGGTAACTCTGATTATGATAGCTGACCATGGATACTTCTTTGTACGAGTATCTCTCTTGAATGTAGTGTGTATATTTGTCTCCTCATTCACTGCATTATCCTTCATTTTCCTTAGTACTTTCGAATGACTTTGATCCGGGTTCACAGAATCGGGATTCCGGACTTCTTGTTGCCGTTTGCCTCCTTCTCCTCCTGCGTGTGTTTTGTTCCGATCCTCTCCCCTTTTTGATACTCCTTTGTTTCTCTGTTTCTTTTCGACCATAGTCGTTATGTTAACTTCGACGTCGGCTTTGTCCAACCGATATGGTACTGCCTTATTGATCAGGTCGATGTCTCCTTTTTCACAAACCACGATGAGCAATTTCTTCTTTGAACTCCACGCTCGCCAGGGGGCGCATATATATGGCCACTTTTTTACCTTCCACGATCTGTGTTGTGTTTGCCCATCACCCCTGTCGTACCCCATGTCTGATTTGGTATCTTCGTCCATTTTCCTAGATATATGAATTGGTCCGGTTCCTTTTCGTCGCCGGACGTCTTGATCCTCTATTACGGTACTCGATGCACATAGGTCTTCCATTGCTTCATTCGTGCTTTGCAACAACTTGGAAAACTGGCCGAACTTGTTTCTCGCCTTACCTTCTGGGTCCTCAACGTCTCATGGGCCCTTATTTACATCCGTCCGCACACCACCTAAGAAACTCTTCTCCACCTGTTCTTTCCGTACCCACTTGAATATTTGGAGTTGCTGGCACCCTTTCTGCGTTATGAGTACTTATTGCCCCATAAGGGACACGCTTCCATCTTCGTTGCTAGCAGTGCGGGATTCCCGGCCGAACGAAATTAGTTCATAGTAGCCTTCGAACAAAGTAATAGCATCGGAATCAGAAAAAAAATCGGGTTTAAAAAAGACCATACGATATGAGCGGAAGGTTGCACAGCCGAAAAATAGGAAGAGCCGCGTTGGTAACGAAGCTCACATGTTTTCGCATATGGAATCCATCTACGAATCTGGCTGAATATCGGGAAGGTCGGGAACATAAATCGAACTTAATTTGTAGCCGTGGTTAGCCGCACAACCGAACTTAATCCGGAAAACAGTAAGATGCCAGTATATTAGCGCTTAATTTACTTCAGTCTCTTTCAATGTAAGTTTTCCCGGATTATTGTTACAGCGTCCGAAAGTTCTCGTCCTTTGGCAGAGGAGAGAAAATTAATTATTTTACAATTTCAATTCCCTTGATTGGGTTGCTGATTGTAGTTTCGCAATGCTAATTTGAAACTAGGATAGAATTGATCTGAATATTGGTATTAACTGGACTACCGAATTTTGAAATTTCAACCCGGCCAATTAAGTAAGAATAGACTAACTAATCAGATGTGTTGCAGCAAACGGTGTCTCGGCGTCTGATTGGCATGTGTTTGGTATCAAATGAAGCGCGCTTAATTAACATGAATTTTAAGCCGTTTCCAGATTTGTGGGATGACAGGAAATCGAGGAATTAATAAAAAAAGGTTTTAATTTTGAGTGTTATCACCAGAGTTCGCCGTGCTGCTTGGAAAATCCAGCATTCCCTTTCCGAAATTGCAGAAATTTATAAAAGGAAAGTGATTTAGAGACTTTCTTCCATTTGCTTCGTGGTAATGGTAACGTGTAACGTGTGCATTTTTTATTACAGTTGTAAAAAAAGGCAAGAAAATGCATCACTTGCAGAATATGTAACAGCATTGAATTTATAGTTATAAATTGAATGGCAACAGTAACACAAGCGTTGAAGTGGCCCAGCACAATCCTAAAAGCCCAACTAACGAATTTATTGCTCGAAATGACCTCCACTAACTCCCATGCAATAATAAATGTTGATTCAAACCTAAATTTTCCATTTCTTAAGACTTCAGAGTTATTCTAGTCTACAACATTCAGCATTAATTCTTTTACACCGTGTATATAAACAGGCGAATGGGTAAACTCGCTCTTGACGGTTGGCAATCCTGCATAATACAACAACATAACGCTGGTGTCGTTTGCGAACATAACCTAACCTGAAAGTTTGGGAACTCCTCAGTCCTCATAGCATCAATACACTTACAATGAAATTGCATTCAGTATAAGTATGTACTAAAAAAGGAAGCGAATGTTAACATAGGCACACACACAAAAAATTATGACCTCAATTATAAAACTACAAGCTCTTTCGGGAGCTGTAGGCGAATCACCTCCTTGCTACATCTTAGATGTGGACGAAGTGAGAATCTTGTTAGACTGTGGCTGGGATGAGAAATTTGATCAAGATTTTATGCGCGAATTAAAACGGTATTCGACGTATTGTTTTCAGATTTCATTCGAATATAAAATTTCAGGCACGTAAACACGATCGATGCTGTCCTCATATCGTATCCGGACACAATGCACTTGGGTGCTTTACCTTACTTAGTAGGGAAATTGGGTTTAAATTGTCCTATCTACGCAACGATTCCGGTTTACAAAATGGGGCAGATGTTTATGTACGATAACTATCAATCACATCATAATATGGAAGATTTTGATCTTTTCACTTTAGATGATGTAGATGCAGCATTTGATAAAATTATCCAGCTTAAGTTTAATCAGAGTGTCTCTTTAAAGGGTGAGTAATACTGCGTTTTAGTTTTGTTTATTACTCTATGTATTTAATGCAGGAAAGGGTTACGGTCTCACTATAACACCGTTACCTGCTGGTCATATGATCGGAGGTACTATTTGGAAGATAATGAAAGTTGGAGAAGAAGATATCATTTATGCTAATGACTTCAATCACAAGAAAGAGCGTCATTTAAATGGTTGCGAACTGGAAAAACTGCAAAGGCCCTCACTTTTTATTGTTGATGCTTTTAACGCTAATTACCAACAGGCACGGCGGAGAGTAAGGGATGAAAAACTTATGAGTATGATTGTGTGACCTCCATCAATAAATGGTAATGAGGTTGTGTTTTAGCTAACATATTACAAACACTACGAAATAACGGCAATGTACTGGTCGCAGTGGATACAGCTGGTAGAGTATTAGAATTAGCGCATATGTTGGATCAGTTGTGGAGAAACAAAGAGTCAGGCCTTTTAGCTTACTCGCTGGCTTTACTAAACAACGTTAGCTACAATGTCGTCGAGTTTGCCAAATCACAAATAGAGTGGATGAGTGACAAATTAATGCGCAGCTTTGAAGGGGCTCGTAATAATCCGTTTCAATTTAAACATCTGCAGTTATGCCACAGTATGCAAGAGTTATCGAAAGTGCCCAGTCCAAAGGTTGTATTGGCCAGTTCTCCTGATATGGAGAGTGGATTTTCCAGAGAACTATTTTTGCAATGGTGTTCGAATAGTAATAACAGTATTATTATAACAACAAGGTAGGTTGGGGATTTGTGATATGCCATTAAACTAAAGGAAAACCATTGAGGCAACTTTTGATTCTGAATCAGATTGATTAATAATTGCCTTTTCTCTACAATTTTGTATGGCTAACTCCATTTCTTTAAATCTGAAATTATGTTTCATACTCGGTTTCATAATAGCTTTTGACCTAGGTATAAGTAATTATGGGTCTATAATTGTACAGAGATCATTTTCAAAGAATACATATGTATAACTTCTTTTTAAATGGACCACATCCAAGCATTACTTATTTTATTGTAATGCCTGAATTAAACAAGAATACACATGCAAAAAGTATCATAAATGAAACATAATTCAACACAAAAAAAATAAATACATTCCTCCTCTCATCCCTCACTGTGATGTAAAATGCAGATTTCCTAACACTATGCTAAACATTTTTTAAAAAATCTTCTGATCTTACCACCTTTTGGGTACGAGAAAATTTTAAGTTTTTCTACCTTGAAGATTACAATGTATTTCTTATGGAAATAATTCCATGGCCGATTGTGATTGAAATCAAATTCATTCGTTTATAGTGTCACATAGTCACCATCAACACAGCCATGGAATTATTTCCATAAGAAATATATTGTAAACTTCAAGGTAAACATTCAAGATTAATTCCCAGATGAAATACCAAGTGTTTAGTATCTCTGGTTTTGTAATTTTTTTCTATGAGTGACATTAATATCCAATATGGCGTCCATAAGAATGTTGATGTGAGTTACTCGAAACCCACAAGTCATAGATTTTGATTTTAGCACCATCACCAAGCTGAGAAAAAATAACGATATAGGTACATATCATTTTATAAAACTTTGATCTGCTAGACAGTCAGTTTAAATAATTAAAACGTACAAACATTACCACGTCTGGGTTCACCCAGAATACGTAGGTACACTATTCACTATAACCACCTGTTATATAACTAATTAATCTTTACATCGCTGCACCGACATCCTTCATCCAACTATCATCTGCACTTAGTTAACCTCGATCTGTTTATTCAAAATAAAAAATAAAAAAAGGCCTTTAATGGGTCTTTTTGGGTAATCTTCACCCAAAAGAATCTCAGAAACGCCACCTCAACTACGAAAATCGGTCAAAACTTTTGAATCTTGTCAGACGTTAAAGATATCATACAATCGGCCTAGATATGATAAATGAAAGATGCTTCCCACACAGAAATTAGCTTTGGATATTATTTTTGTCATATTCACCGTCGGAAACCTCGTAAACGTCACCCCAAACGTAAAAATCGGTCTAAAAACATATATTTCCTGAAATTTTAAAGATTGGCGCCATTTTCAATCCTAAGGGACGGAACTTTCGGCTTTGCGACTCAAATCACTCTAATAGGTCTAGTGAACATGTGTTCCAAGTGGCACAATTTTAATACGAAATGCCGTTTGTTCTCATGGGCCGCTCCCACTATAACAAATAGTTATATTATACTATAAAGGGATATTTTAACCATTGAGTGAATTAACTTTCACGAGCTTCATTTTATAGCTAAAGCCATATAAATCATTGTGAAGCTTTTGACAATTCTGAATTTAATTTAGACGTCAAAAATAGCAAGCTTAGGCTCTACCGTCGCGGTCGTTTCCATAGAAACAGCATTGTTGTAGGTTCTGAATATGATTTTATATCGTGCTCCACGTCCCACTTGAAATAAGAATGGCAGATGACATTAGAATGCACAAAAATCTGTTTCACTTTATCTACCCTTGTGGTTAAAGTGATCACTTTACGGTTCAAAAGCGGCTTAGCCTACTCATTCAAACCTATTAAAATGTCAATTTTACCTATAGTATAAAATAGATTAAATAAAATAAAATATGTTAGATTCTACACTACTTTCACTTCTATAAAAAATTGTCTTTTAGAACCTCGCCTGGTACTCTTGCGCGTGATTTAATTGATAACGGTGGCAACAGAGCGATTGATCTGGTTGTAAAAAGGCGAGTTAGATTGGAAGGTTCAGAATTGGAAGAGTACGAAAGAAGGGAAAGGGACAAGGAGGACTATTATGCTAAAGAGTATGTTTTTTTTGCAATGTCAACCGTTTAAGATTTCCCAGTGTTTTAGTGAGGACGTAGAGTCAGAGTCAGATGATGATATCGAAATGAGCATAATATCAAAGGGCAGGCACGATATCGTAATAAAACAGGAAGGCAAAGTAAGCACGAGTTTCTTTAAAGTAGCAAAAAAGCAATATCCCATGTTTCCTTTTCGAGAAGAAAAAATAAAATTTGACGAGTATGGGGAAATAATCAAACCAGAAGATTATAAATTAGCAGATGTGGTAGCGGAGGGAGAAGACAATAAAGAAAACATAGTTATTAAAAAAGAAGAGGAAATTGTACGTAAGTAGTTAAATTAGCAAAGTTAATAATCTATGTGTTCTGGTACCTACTTTATATCAGTTTTTTTATTTGATTGTTTAGTAATCATTTCAGTTTCTTTACAGCTGATGTAACGGAATTCCCGTCAAAATGCATCATACTAAATCGTACTGTGCAAGTAAATGCACAAGTGCAGTACATTGATTTTGAAGGAAGATCAGATGGAGAATCTCTTCTGAAAATCTTATCGCAGTTAAGACCTCGAAGGGTTGTTGTCGTCAGAGGGTCTATGGAGAGCACAGCGACAATTGTCAAACACTGCGAAGAAAGTATGACCTCAAGAGTGTTCGCCCCAGCTCAAGGGGAGATAATTGACGCTACTAGTGAAACCCATATCTACCAAGTATGTGCAGCATCTCCAGCTGAACTGAACTCACTCATATTTTTAGGTACGTTTAACAGATGCCTTAGTCTCCCAGCTCAATTTTCAAAAAGGTAAGGAAAGCGAATTGGCTTGGGTGGATGCCCAAGTTATGTTCCGAGAAGCACAACATGACGCTAAACGATTAAATGTTGACAACGAACCAATGGATGGTACAAACATTTCCCATTATGAGTAACATTATAATGACTTGTTTTACTGTAGAGGATGAAGAGGAAACAAAAATTCTGACGTTGGAACCATTATCGAGTGCATCTCCCCCCTCCCATGACACAGTGTTTATCAATGAACTAAAATTGTCCGAATTTAAGCAGGTGTTATTAAAGGGAAATATAAACTCGGAATTTTCAGGCGGAGTTCTATGGTGCTCTAATGGTACTATAGCAATTAGAAGGGTAAAATGGTGCAAACGAAACTATTCATATAAATAACTGTCTTATTTTAGATTGAAAATGGAAAAATTATTTTAGAAGGATGTATCTCCGAAGATTATTACAAAGTAAGGGAACTTCTATATCAACAATACGCTATTTTATAAGTGCAAACAATTTTTTAATACAAATTTGTGGTTTTAATTTTCAATAAAATTGAGTTTTATTAAAGAAGTGTGGACAATATACCTACATACGTGTAATATGAAATTTGTATGACAATCAACCTTGCATGAACCTATTCAAGATTTCTAAGAATAGGTATGATATAATAGACGTTGAACACTTTTTAAATGTTAAATGTACACATTTGCAAAGTTTGTTGGATTCTTTCGACCAAACTAATACCGAATAAGCGACTTTTACGGCACGTAAACTACAGGAGTAAAAATTGACGATTTTTGAAGTACAGTAGAACTTCGATTATCCACGCCACGATTTCCCTTCATTGAATTTTTTAACTTTACATTTTAAATTTACGGACCATGCACTGGAAGATTAAAACTGATCAAAGATTTTCACACAGACCAAAGTAACAGACTTTTTTTCAAAAGTACCTATAGCTAATCTAAAAATATGCGCTTTTTTGCAAAGTTAATTTATTGGTGTAAACATTTTGGTTGCGATATTTAAGTACAAATTTTCTTTTGTAATAATTTTCTGATTTCAGCGGACTTTCCAAAAGGAAAATGAACGCTGTTATCCGCGCTTTGTCCGTCTATACCGCACTAGTCCTCCAGTTTAAGCTTTTTCGGTGTAGCACGGCCCCGAGACCAGAACGACAAAAGATTTTTTTGGACTACTCACTTCCTTTGCGAGATATTACTGATTCTATGCTAGGAATGCGCTTTCGTCAGTAGCGCGTGACCACGTTTTTAACGTGTTTATCTCTACATGTACTTAAAAATTTGCTGTGGCTAGCACAGATACCACCTGCATGCACGTTCTGCTTTTCGGTCCTTTCTTTCATGTCTAAGAATATGTGTACCAAATTTGGTTCCATTCAGTTTAGGCGGAAATGACAGTAGAGATGGACTGACATCATCGAGATTTTGTTTGATTCGGAATCCTGGTGCTTTTATAAAAATGTGTTTCCTGTGGAGCACGGATAATCAGGGATCTCTCAATTGTATTTCAGAATTAAGCTTTTATGATTTAGGTATTTTATATTTTACAAAAAAATTACAACAATTAGTAAGCCCCTATGCTGTTACTACGTGTAAAGAAATGGGTACACACATATCACGCAGACAGCTGTTATCATAGAATTACACATAATTCTATGGCTGTTATACATTTGCAAAACTGCTGTTATATCGTGCCATACATTTATATTGAAAAGTAGTTGGCATATTGTTTTATATAAAAACAGATGTTCGTTCTAATATTTTGTAAAAGTGTCAAAATAGAACGAGATCCTTAACATTGCCTTTATTTCCACTGTTTAAAGCGTTTCTGTGTATCAGTACAAAGATTCACATTCGTGAGTGCTCAATAGAGGCATAATTATAACAACTGCATTATACATACTACTATTATTACAATTTATAGCTCCTGGTGAATGGAAGGTAGCATGGAGCTTCCTTTTTGTCGACCAGGTTGGTTCCATACTTACTTTTGCTCGTACTTTTGTATATACGAAGGACCATAGCCCACTGCTCAGCCACCTAATTGGAGAAAGGGGACTGGAAATTAGAATTACGGTACGCGACAACTCACCACTTACGACAGCTCGCCAGCGCAACGAATGATTCGCCACTGCGACAACTCGCCAATTAATGATCTTTTTCCTGTTTAATGTGTCAAGAAAAGTTCATATAATAAGAAAATCCTACCGTCAACATTTTATTAATTAAAGTGTAATTTGGACGTATCCACTTGAGATTATACCATATGCCATATACTACACTATCAAAAGTAGGTTTCAACGTAGCGGATAGTACTCATTCTTTCGATTTACTTGAACAATATAAATTTGACAATCAAATCCTTACGATTTATTGTATCGTGTTAACTAGCCTTATAACCATAGAGGAAATACTATGACAAAAGAAAATTGGGGTGGCAGACGTTTACTAATCATCAAACGAACTGTCGTTATCTCTCGGTCTATAATAGTTAATGCACTTGTACGACACATTAAACAGGAAAAAAAGTCGTGTGACTTACAATCCCTCGGGCCGCAGGCCCCGGGGCCCTGTCGCCCTCGGCATAAATGATGATGATAAATAAATATTACCTAACCTACTTGTTTTTTTTTAAATGTTGGTGTTAATGGTTTATATGAATGTCTTTTATTAATAACGGGCATTGAACTATATACTCTGTAACTGGAACGACATCGAGCGCCAAAATCGCGTGCCGCAATGATTTTAGGCAACCAGCATAAAGTAGGTATTCTCATCCTTGTCTGGCACGTTGTTTTGTATTGCATATGCAGCACCGATCACACGTATTTGGTTAAAAATACAGATAAGTACATAAATTGGGGGGTGGGGGCCTTGAAAGATAAAGATAAATGCTTGTCGAAGCTTTTATAAGTGTCAATATTTATTTGATAATGGAATATCTTAAAATATATACTTATAATAATGTGGTAAACTGCGCCATTTCTCACTCACACACTCACATACTTGATTCTTGAAGTTACAAAAGTATAATGTCAATAATGTCATTCATGGTGGTTCCACTCATTCCATTTGCTTATTAACATAAAATAAAGTTAGAAACATTGGTTGTGTTCGTTTGTAACGTACCGTTTACATAATATATTAGCAGGGAGGTAGGTACCTAATATATTACAATTGGCGTCGAGGTAAACGTAAATTTAAAAATTACTTTTTTTTTAGAATAAAATGAGTTTAAGAATCATGGTTACTCTAAGAGCAAAAATTCAATTTACTCGAAGTGGTCACCGCATTGCCATTAGATGGAAACGAATTGACACGAATGTCTTATGCTGGTCTTATGGAACGTTTGTTTCTTGTACGAGACTGGAATTTGTCTAACAGTCCGATGGATCCTTTGTTTTCGGAACTATACCTTGACACATCCAACGTAACTACCAAACACACCAGTTGTGAGTGTTGGTGGTGCCATCGACAGTATCGAAGAATTCAGGACAAATGCCCATTGGAACATCCACAGTGAGCGGCTTGAGTAATGCATAAGTGCACATTTCGTTGATGAGCAGCGAAAGGTTTCTGCGCATCTAACCACGGTAATTGGACCAGAGAGGGTTTATAAGCAGAGTTGGACTGGGTCAACTGGGTCACTTGGGTCACTAAATTAAACTGGGTCGCTGGGTCACGTCATACTCTTTTCAGTTAGACCCAGTGACCCAACTTGACCCAGTTTGACCCAGTGACCCAGTTTGACCCAGCGACCCAATTTCATCCGGGGACCCAATTCGACCCAGTCACCTAGTTTGATCGAATAACGCAGTTAAGTCAGTGCCCTCGGTTCAAGTGTACAGATTATGAAATAAATGAAATGCTGGTTTGTTAAATATAATACTCGATTGCTTGACAACTGCCATTTCTGTGATGTTTGCTTTAATACTGCCGTAAAAAACTTTCCATGTCCCGAATTGTATTAGAATAATGTTATTTCTTTGCTTCAGGGCTTACCAGTTTGCTTAAAGGTGTTCATTCACATTTAATTTTTTTCTACTAGTTAGCTTAATCCAAATAAATCTTTTCTCTAAATACTTTCATTGACTACAAACTATAAACAAATGCATTTGATTTTTTTAGGTATTAGTTCTCTTGAATGAAATTGGGCTAAGTGCTTGTTGCCGAATATTATTGAGGAATTTTTTTTAAATTAAAAGTTACTTGAAATTGTTTTGGATGATACCTAACAATAATTTAATTACTGGGCCACCGGGTCAAGACGGGTCACTGAGTAAAGCTGGGTCAAGATGGGTCACTGGGTCAAGCTGGGTCACCGGGTCAAGTTGGGTCACCGGGTCAAACTGGGTCACCGGGTCAACTGGGTCACCGGGTCAAGCTGGGTCACCGGGTCAAGCTGGGTCACCGGGTCAAGCTGGGTCACTGGGTCAAGCTGGGTCACCGGGTCACTGGGTCAGTAAACGAACTGGGTCACCGGGTCACTGGGTCACTCTATGCTTGACCCAGTCCAACTCTGTTTATAAGGCATTGCGCTACTTATATAACCCAGTTTTGTCCCAAGATGAAACGTACGCCGAGTTATGTGAGGGCAGAATTACACCTTCTACAAAAGCTCTCCCATATTTTCCAGAACTCACCTTTATAACTTGGCCCCAGAAAAACCATTGTATATACATTGGAAAAACTCAAGACCTGCAAATCCTTCGGAATATATCGTAGGGAAATAAAAAAAGTTTTTCATATATAAAACCGCTTCTACCCCATTAAAGCATATGTGGATGGATATGGATGTAGAAAATGCAAACCGTGATATTTTCTAATTTAACCTTTGTGATATATGTACCTGTGTGATATGTGTATGCTTTTATATGTTTACACTTTGACGCCTCCTAATGTACGTTCAGTGTAGGCCGAACCGAAGGAATCGGTAATAAATAAAAAAATAAATCCTTAAAGGTATTTTTCGCCCCATTGGTGAGCATTATCAATAATAACGTTGAGTGAAAAATTAAATAATAAGGAACTTCATATTCAAATTAGTAAGTCAAAACGGCTTTATAGGTTTTGACGGCGTTAACGCTTTTCTTCATATGATGCTCTCTAGCGAGTGGACAGTGGAATGCCCTATTGAATTAGTATTAAAGAGTGCGAAAGAAAAATTATCATTCATAAAGACAGTGTAAATGAGTGTGAGGTACATTAGTAAAGAAATCTGAGCGATGCAAATCCCGTCATGCGCAAAAATAATAAATGCGCGCGTCGAGGTTGGAAAATGTTATCAAAACGTACCCATGAAATTGAATATTTGAATTTTTATTATGAAAATGATTGCACGTATATGCAACACAATTCATGACTATTTTTGCAAGTCTCTTAATAACATATTTTAGACAAAAATAAGCAAAATGTAAGACGTAGTATAAGCCATCCCATAAGCCCACATGAGTAAAACAAGGTAAGGGATACCTACCTCTACCCATCTCTCTCTCACAAAAATTCGCCACGGCCCCTGGCAACGGCTGATTACGGGTGATGCCGTTC